TCCCTTGGGGTAGACAGCTCCAGGGAACAGGTTGATGACACAATCATATGGTCGGTGGGGAGGGAGTGACAGAGCCCTCTGCTTACTGAACACTTCCCTCAAATCGTGATATGTCTCGGGAACCAGGGACAAATCTGGGGGTTTAGCCTCAATCACCTGACTGGGAACCGAATGGGAACAGGCAGTCTTGAGACAGTTAGCATGACAATCAAGGCTCCAACTCGTTACCTTGCCCGTCACCCAATCGAACGTGGGATTGTGTTCCTTCAGCCAGGGGTATCCAAGGACCAGAGGAACATGGGAAGACGGCAGAATGAAGAATGAAATCACCTCAGAATGATTCCCCGACAACAGCATCTTAACCGGTTCAGTCCTCATCGTGATACGTGCCAGACTACTGCCGTTCAGAGTGGTAGCTTCAATGGCTTCCGGTAATTGCTCCTTGGAAAGCCCCAGCTGTTCCACCACCTCGGCATCAATAAAGCTTCCATCGGCACCTGAATCGACAAAAGCGTTAATCGCTAAGCTCTGATTCCTGTTCATAAGGGTAGCCGGGAAACGGGGTCTGACAGAGGTATTGAGAGGTCGAAACTGGCTCGCTAAAAGTCCTCCCAACTTTAGCGAGCCGCGCAGTTTGACGACCGCCGGGAACAAGTGGCGAGGTAATGTCCCGAACCACCACAGTAGAGGCAACAGTTAGTCCTACGTCTATGTTGGCGCTCCTCCTTGGTTAACCCGTGCCGCCCCACTTGCATGGGTTCAGAATCGGGAGACAGGACCTCTCCACTAATCCTGTGTGGTGGACGATGATCGACGTATTCTGGTCCAATCCCCGACCCGACTGGGACCTGAGAAGCTGATCGATTGGACGGGGCCCATTGCTTCTCCCTCCCTCGCTCTCGGACTCGATTATCCACCCGAATAGACAAGGCTACCAAGCTGTCCAGGTCACTAGGCTCCGGATAGGAGATCAACTCATCCTTGAGCTGCTCCGACAGGCCCTGGTAAAAGGCCGCTTGCAGAGACTCCTCATTCCACCCACTCTCCACAGCCAACGTCCTGAACTCGATCACGAAGTCGGCAACGCTGCGAGTTCCTTGGCGAAGCGAAAACAGGCGCCTAGCTGCGTCCCTCCCTCGGACGGAATGGTCGAATAGCTTCCTCATCTCGGCCGTGAACCCCTGGTATGAAGCCATGCAGGTGTCCTGTCGTTCCCAAACGGCTGAAGCCCACTCCAGCGCTCGACCACGCAGCAACTCAATCACAAAGGCTATCCTAGCCTTGTCTGTGGCATAAGAGTAGGGCTGTAGATCGAACACTAAACCACACTGCATAAGGAAAGAACGGCATCTTCCCAGCTCCCCCTCATATTTATCCGGCGTCGGAACCTTGGGCTCACGGAAAGACACAGCTCCAGAAGCGGCAGGCGAGATGGGTGAAACCGGTAGTGGATTCTCCACCGGAAACTTGCGCTGGTTCTGGACCTCCGTCAGACTGGTAGAAAGGTTCCGAACTGACAACGCGATCTCCTGTAGTACCGTGCTATGATGGCCCAACATCTTCTCCTGATGGGTAATGGCATGGCGAACAGAGTCCAGGTCCGCTGGGTTCATTACTGGCCGGATCGTTCTGTCACGGGTTACAAAGCCAGAACCCAGAAGCAGACCAGGACAAGGTAAGTTGAAACAAAGGTGAGTGTTTATTTAACAGATCCACGAGTGATGCTGAATAATCCAGGGAACAGAGCGGGCGGCGTGGATGAGTTGTTGAGGGTGCAGTGGTAGGTCCAATAATGGCTCGGCAGCCGCCGACCATCAGGCAGAGGTTGGGTGAAGGTTCCGGACGAGTGACTGCAGATGGAACAAAACGGAGGTAAGTACACAACAAGCCAACAAGGTGCAAAACAACAAAACTAACGCTATAAGCTCTAAGGCTGATCCTCTGATAAACATACTGTTCATGGCTAACGATCCGGCAGGGAATGGATGTTAGGTCAGAGCCTAAAAAGGGTGATGATCAGGACCAGGTGTGCAGATTGCTGATGGGATGCAGGTGCGGAAAACATGAGAGCTCCCGCCTAGCAACGTCGCCCGGCAACCAGGCAGGGAGCGTTCCAGAACCCTCGGGAAACTGGAGATCCCGAGCAGAAAACTAACAACCCAGACAGGAACCGACTCAGACTGCACGGTTCGTTACAGACTCTCCACAGCAGTCCCATTGATATGGATTCGGCGTATCCTCCTCCCTGCTTCCTGAAGTCAACAATCAACTCCTTCGTTTTGCTGATGTTGAGGAAGAGGTTGTTGTCCTGGCACCACGCTGCAAGTTATATTACCTCCTCCCTATAGGCTGTCTCATCATTGTTGATGATCAGGCCTACAACCCTGGTGTTATCAGCAAACTTGATGATGGAGTTGGTGTCATGCCTGGCCGCGCAGTCGTGAGTGAACAGGAGGTACAGCAGTGGGCTGAGCACACCTCCCTGTGGGGCCCTCGTGTTGAGTCAGTGTGGTGGAGGTGTTATTAAGAGTCAGTGTGGTGGAGGTGTTTTTGACAGTCAGTGTAGTGGAGGTATTGTTGACAGTCAGTGTAGTGGAGGTGTTGTTGCCAGTCAGTGTAGTGGAGGTGTTGTTGCCAGTCAGTGTAGTGGAGGTGTTGTTGCCAGTCAGTGTAGTGGAGGTGTTGTTGCCAGTCAGTGTAGTGGAGGTGTTGTTGCCAGTCAGTGTAGTGGAGGTGTTGTTGCCAGTCAGTGTAGTGGAGGTGTTGTTGACATTCAGTGTAGTGGATGTGTTGTTGAGAGTCAGTGTAGTGGAGGTGTTGTTGAGAGTCATTGCAGTAGAGGTTTTGTTGAGAGTCAGTGTAGTGGAGGTGTTGTTGCCAATCCTCAGGTGTTGTAGTCTGTGGTCTGCCAGTCAGGAAGTCCAGGATCCTGTTGCAAAGGGTGGAGTCCAGACCCAGGGCCGTGAGCTTGGTGACAAGCTTGGAGGGAGCAATGGTATTGAATGCTGAACTGCATTCAATGAACAGCATTCTCACATAGGTGTTCCTCTTGTCCAGGTTTGAAAGAGCCGTATGGATTACAATGGAGATGGCATCTTGAGTGGATCTGTTGGAGTGGTAAGCAAATAGGAGTGGGTCCAGTGTGTCTCGCATCCTGGCCTTGATGTGGGCCATGACCAGCCTCGCAAAGCACTGGTCAGCCAAAGATGGTTTTCGTCTAACTGTTTGCGTTGACCGCCAACCAAGATTCTTCATGTCAAATCGGGAAATATGGCCACCATTCACGACCAACTATCAGCAACAGTGTGAAACACGGACAGAGATTTTGAGCACTGATTGTAGGTCCTGTGCGTCGCACCTATCTGGTATGAAATAGCCCTATCAGGATAAATAACTAAACTATCAGGATGATGCTCAAGATGCTTCCCATTCATCAACATTCACAACATAAATAAAGATAGAGAACCCAGGGGCTCACTATCAAAAAGAAGGACAGGAAGAAAACTCACACTCTTTCAGTCAAAGTTAACTTCGTGCAACACTTCCGTTTTGATGGGAAGTGTGTCTCCCCAGGGAAGGAGCGAATCATCAAGATGCCACAAAATAAAGTTAATGAAGCATTAAGTTTGAAATGAGTTGGGTTTTTAGTTTAGGGGCAGATATACAATTATCACTGTGATGACTATTTTGACTACTGGGGGAAAGGAACCCAAGTCACGGTAACTTCTGGTAAGTAGCCTTAACATTCAGACCTGAAAAAAGTGATTTTATTGTTTTGTACTAAGTTTTGGTCAGACCATTCACTGTGACAACTACTTTGACTACTGGGGGAAAGAGACCATGGTGACCGTGTCCACAGGTAAAAAATATATATATATTCTTTTTATTTTTGCATTATTATCGAGGTTTGACTTTGATTCAAAAGTCTCTCCGAAATGCTTGAAAGATGTATTTTTGGTCTTAACTTGCGTTAGTTTTTGTGCGTTGCACGTATTGAAAGATTGCATTGTGACTATGCTTTTGACTACTGGGGAAAAGGCACAATGGTTACCGTTTCATCAGGTAAGAAAATGATTATGATTTCATCAAATGTGAAAGTGAGTTTTCAAATAGTCAAATAGATCTAGGTTATTAAAACTCGATTCTAGGCTAAATTTGCTCAATTGAATTGTGGATCAATAACAGTAATGGTACGCTATAACAAAGAAATATATTTATCATCTGGCCAAAAACAACTAAAAATAATTCATGTAATTTTAAAACAAAGCTTTAAAAGTGCAATATAGACTATATATTTTTGGTTGGGAATAAAAGGGTATAGAGCCTAGGGAGAATGCGTTTTTACATCACTAGCTAAGTTCATTGAACACTGTGCTACGCTGCTTTCGACTACTGGGGTCAGGGAACAACGGTAACCGTTTCATCAGGTAAGAATCACATTTTGTTAGATGGCAAAGCATTGTTTAGATTGGATACTGATCTCTTAAATATAAGGATACATATTTAATCAATCAAAAAAGTAAATACAGTCCTACCTACCTGCCTTATATCAGTTCTGTACAGGCGTTTCTGATAACACTTTTGATACAGTTTGGGGATAAATAATATCCTATCCTAACACATTCATAGTCTCTTAATAAATCACATATTTGGCCTACTAAGGAATGCTAAATAAAGTTAAGACAAAATAAAATATTATGTTTGTACAATGGAATAGGTCCTTAGAACTGTTATTTATTTTGTTTTGTTAAGTATTATTTGTATTTATTATTTTCATAATGTAGCCTATATTCTTGAAGGCTACAAGGGTTGCCATAGACTAGTAATCTACCATGCAGAAAATGTATTGATTAGGCTTAAATGTCATCCCCAATATTGAGAGGGGAAACAAAAGTTTGATGGACTTTATGGACTATTTGAAACACGTAATTTCTCTTACAGCCTCCCCAACTGCCCCGACCCTGTTCCCTCTGATGCAATGTGGCTCCGGGGCCGGAGATATGCTGACTCTAGGTTGTATTGCCACCGGCTTTACGCCTGCCTCCCTCACCTTCAAATGGAAGGACACCGACGAGAATGCCTTGACTGACTTTGTCCAGTACCCGGTTGTCCAGACCGGTGAAAAGTACATGGGAGTCAGTCAGCTCCTCGTGAAGAGATCAGACTGGGATGAGAAGAAGACTTTCCAATGTGCCGTGGAACATTCAGCTGGCTCAAAGGAAGTGATATTACAGAAACCAGGTAAGTCTCATTTATAAATTGACTGATCAATTTATTTAATAATAATAATAATAATAACAATAATACAGTATTAGGTTAGGGTAACTTATTATTATCCATATTCATCTACACGTATTAGGATAGTAAAAACATATGACGATCGATTCGCAGATTATTAGATTCGATAACAAACCGAATTTGTAAACATGATTCTGTCAAAAAATAAATATCAACGCTGATAAACTTGTGAAGTATGGATGAATTGCAAATGGTTTAGTTGTATAATTCCATTGCTGCTATTCGAAATTACAATGGACTACTACTGTACAATAGGCTGCTTGTATAAAGCATATTGTGCGTTCACGTGTATAATAAAGCGTGTATAAATAAAGCGTGTGTAAAATTATTGGACCAATTAATCCATCTTTAGAGTCTACTTCAGAAAACTCTGTACCTTAGTAGGCCTAGCCATACAGTAAAACACCTTGTCTGATGAGATACCTGATGCATGTTTAAAGTAACAAATGTGTTATAGGATGAATAGAAGTGGCTAACAACAAATGCATGATTAGGCCTACATCTTAAGATAGTTGATGACCACTTGAAGAGCTTTGCAGAGCTGATAATTGCTTGCTGGAACATTTGTGTCACTGTCACCAGCTATAAAACAAGCCATTTAGGTATGAGTCTGATTGTGGTGTAGGTGATAGGATAGGATGAGGGTTGGAACGGCGGTAACTTGCCCATGCATTTGAGTCGTTGGGTAATTAAGCCATGTCTCCCCAGCACAAAGGTTTGAGCCCTGTTTGCTTTCCTTCGCCTGCATAATCCTTTTATGTCCACAGTCTTAACTCCTTGATCACTTCAATAATTGAACCATATTTGTATTGTGGCAGTGTATTGCCCTTACTTGCCCTGGGACTACAGGTGCAGATTCGCTTGTGGCTAACCCCGCTACTTTTGCATGGATGTTGCATTATTGTAATATTGATGTTGATTAATGTGCACTGTCCCCTATAAATAAATAAATATAGGCCTACACATTGATTGGTTGACAGATTTAAGACATAATACATTCATAAGCAATTGACACAATTCAAGTCAATTTATGGACAGAGCTTTGACCTTTCCATCTCCACCACTGCAACACTCCAGAAATACACGCACAGTAGAGCAAGCACAGTAGAACAGCAAAACAGGTTATGAAAGTGCATAGTTTAAAAGTTGGTAGGAGTATTGTGCATGAAAATAGCGGGACATGATTCCCACAGGGGCCCTGCAATATCACCAATTGATTGTACACATAGAAGCCATATTAACACTTTTCCATTCTAGCATACTTGTTCCTCTCTCAGCATCTGCATATGTCTGTTAACATGTATATGAAGAGTTTATTTCTTAAACACTATATCCACACATTCTTCCACTTTTGTGGTTTTTCACCAGAAATTATTTCTTATGGCTACCTTCACGTGTAAAATATTACTGCCCCCAGTTTTTTTCTTTAGCAATTTTATGTGTGTAGTAAAACGGGTTTTTTGCAAAACGCTGTATATCCATTGTTTAGCTGTAATGGAATATTCGTATACTGTTAATATGACGGATATGTGGTTGTCTCACCTAGCTATCTTAAGATGAATGCACCAATTATAAGTCGCTCTGGCTAAGATATTCTGCTAAATGACTAAAATGTCAAATGTAAATGATCTAATCTAATGTAAATGATCTAATCTAATTTTACTGTATTGATTCATTATTTTAAATTTTTTGTATTGATGTCACAAATGTATAATTTGTACAGTTCTTTATTAAAAATGTAATTATTTGTTACATTTGACTGTATAAAACCTAGCAGTACTACTTATTCTCTGAGAGTGGGGCTGATATATAGCGTTTTGCAAAAAAACAACATGATTATATGTCTCTGAAATGAACACATTAAATGATAGATCTCAAACAAACACGTCTGTAATTGCACAGCCCCAATCCATTATTACATGGTGAAAAAACACACCAATCTAGTTCATTAGTTCTTTAAACAACAGCAGCTCATTTAGAAAATGGATATGTAGCGTTTTGGAAAGAAACTCTTCATATGTTTTGTTCATCAGCTTCTGCGTTCATATATGTGTATGTTTGTTTTTCAGTTGAGCCTCAGCCCGTCTCCCCGTCTTTTTATGTAATGACCCCCTCAAAAGAGGAGATGCAAGACAATCAAACAGCTTCCTTTGCCTGCTTAGCAAGGGACTTTTCACCCAAAGATCATGAGATTACATGGCTGAAGAACAATAAGCCAATAGCCAAGGGGGTGACAAACTTCTGTCAGGATGAAAAGAAGGGAGAACAGAACACCTTGTACAGCGCAACCAGCTTCTTGAGCGTCGGCGAGACTGAGTGGACAGATGGGTCAGAGTATACCTGCCGCTTTGTGCACAAATCTGGAAACCAGACCAAGACTGTGAAGTACTCCTCTGGTGAGTAAAATCCATCAAAATGTCCCCTCTTGGTAGCTATGATACACACTAAAACAGTGCTCAGAGAAGGTTCTGTTCAACATGCATTATTTATTTCATTAACTTCAAACACTCTTTTGGTATCAGGTATTGTCCAGGGACAGCACTGTATCAGCTGGTCTCTGTTTTATATAGTTTGGTATATATAACTGCTAGTTTACATTTTGCTAAATTACTGACCATGAGAAATACCCCATGAATAGAAACAATAATCAAAACAGAATGTATTTATTTTAGTGTTGATAGGGGGATGATGCATTGAATTACAAATGTTTTAAACCTCTTCCCTGTGTCCTCTTACAATAGGTGCAGTATGTGACACTCATGTGGAATTCCAATTCATTGAGCCAACTCCAGAAAACCTCTTCTTAGATGAAAAGGTCCCCCTTGAGTGCAGGGTCACTTCAAAGCAAGCAGGCTTCCAGACCATCAAATGGATGACCGAGGATAAGAAAATCCTCCATGAAGAATATGACGAACGTGAGGGACGTTCAATCACTGCCAAGATTCTAATCAGTTATGAGGAGTGGCGTAATGGGACAACATTCATCTGTAGTGTGGAGCACAAAGATCTTCCATCTCCAGAAGAGGAATCATACCGAAGGCAGAATGGTGAGGCACCCCATTTTAAATTCAAATTCAATTACTGTATAATAAGATACGTTTTTATTTATTTAATTTTTTAATTGACATACTTGTGTAATGTTTGTGTTTTAAAACTAGTCATTTTTCAAGGTGATGGTGTAGTTTCTGAATCACATAGTGGTTGTGATTAGCCTTTGGTGTTAAGTACAATATATTCCAAAGATCTTCCATTTGGTTAAATAGATAACGTATGGCAGCACATGTTTTTACATCATAGCCCCCTTTTACCTATTTTCTCCCCTTAACACTCATCATGCGATGATATTGCACACATTTGAAAAGTTGTGCAATTGCAGATGGCTCATTGCCACTCCTTAACTATAGGATAACCCAATCAGCACAACGTGTCGCTCCAAGACATTTGAACAGATATCTTACTGAGCTTTGACAGAAGGCATAACTGTTCTCTTGTGCTTCTAGGTGAAATGGAAAAGCGTCCATCTGTGTTTCTTTTGGCTCCTACAGAAGAAACTAGCAGTGGTATGGTGACCCTGACTTGCTACGTCAAGGACTTCTACCCCAAAGTGGTTTTAGTTGCTTGGCTTGTTAACGATGAACTTGTCACAATGGATTCAACAAAGTACCAATACAACACCACTAGTGCTATTGAGACAGGAAGGACATATTACTCAGTATATGGTCAGCTCACCATGAGCATGGATGATTGGATGGTGGATGGTGAGGTGTATAGCTGCGTAGTGTACCATGAAACCATTCCGAAGTCCACAAAAATGCTTGTCAGAACCCATGACAGAACCTCAAACAAACCCAACCTAGTCAACCTCAGCTTGAATGTCCCTCAGTGCAAGGCCCAGTAGAGGATGTGTTGCCTTGTGTTGTGTTGCTATGTGTTGACCCTATATGGTTGTTTGTGTTTGTGTTTGTGACATGACATGATGTGTGTCTTTTAAGTGCAGAATCAAAATCCAAATAAAAAGATTGAATCAATAAACCTGTTGATGTATGTCCTGTGCAGTTCCTACTCATGTCTGTCCCGTCCCCCCACTTTTGTGCAAAGCAGATGGTTAGTTAGAGCTTCAGTATCTCTCTTTGGGGGAAATGTCAGCTCTCACACAAGTAGAACTAACGGTAAAGAGACAATACAAGTCAGGCATAGTCTTAATGCATTACATTTACAATGAGGTCATGATTATCATGCAATATAAGTCTATCTGGAATACAGTAATGGTGGACACTGAATAATGTAATAGTATAAAGCTTATTTTGCACACCTAGCTGTAATCTAGCACGCAAGTGATATCCACTCACATTCTTAAAATGTTACCCTGATGACAGGAATGAGCTATGGAAGTGTAGCGTTAGCATTAGCAACACAGTTGACTGCTGATTCAGATATTCTCCTCGTGTCTATGGTGTAATCAGATGTAGTGCATTGAACTTGTTCAGGTGTTCCTGTCTTCTTGTTGTTTGGCTTTGTGTGCTTCTGTTCCCTCTACTGTGTCTCACCTGTAGAAATGCTATATGTATGTTCTATTGATTCAAATTCTACCACCATGGGTTTGGAGACAGATGAGATATGATTAGGGTTCGTTCACAAGAAGCAAGCCAAGCCAAGAAGAAGTTGGAAGTTCCCATTGATCGGCAAGTGTGTCGTTTGGCCAAAGCAAGTTAGGGTCACCTTCACTGCTGGTTTGATATCCTCACATTTTAGATTTTCAATGTGTTGCATGCTTTCAGTTATAACTTAGTCATTGGAGGTGAGGCATGCACAAGTCCAATAAATACACAATGCATGCTTTAGATTTCTTTCTCACATCCTACAAAATATCACAGTATTATCTGAAACACAACTATGATTGATACCGGAGACAGCTGTACTATGCAAGGTTTCCCATAAAACAGTTAAAAGTATGCCAATTCCAAAATCAGCCCCTAGCCCCAAACCTATGACACTTCTTGAAAGCCCCTTAGCTCTCACTTGTACATGAAGGCTACATGCAATACTCCCCCTAGGTAACAATATGAATGGAGCTATGGAGAAACTATTATTAGAACTAAGATCTATAACACATTTTTTAGGAGCCATCAAGAAGTGTCCAGAAGTTGGGACTTGGTTTAGAGCTTCTTGTCTGTTAGCGACCGCGAAGTGGGTGATGAGGTGAGGCAGAGAATTGGGGAGAGGACGGGCGGGGAGATCCCCGATCCGATGTGATTGATGCCCCCCGTTTGGCCCCCCCCCCCCACCCTCACCCCTCCTCCCGAACCAACCTCGCCCACCCCCACCCCTCCTCCCCTTGCCCCGCCCCACGCATATTGGGCCCACATGGGAGGGCCCCGCGTCAAGGGCCCCCCGTCTTGACCCTGCCTAGACACTTGTTTCATATCCACATGCAGAGTGTTCGTTTGACTACTGTCATGCCGCCACACCACTACACATGGCGACCACCCCATCTACCCCACCCCTTGCCAGGGACACAGCCCATGCCCGGCGGGATCGACCGCGCGATAACAGACCTTCACCTTTATAATGATCATCCCCCTCCTCCTACTCTGCTGTCTGGCGTTGGGAAAATGCCATCCAGTCAAAAAAAAACATAAAACCAAAAAAAGAAAATGCAAAAAAAAAAACATTTGAAGTTAATTTGACAAAAGCAGTATTCCTTCTAGCCATGACCGGAGTGTGGGAAGGGTAGTAAAAGGAAGACATTTTGTTTTTGAAAGTTCCATAGTCTGTGTGGTTGCATTGTTATGTTTATGTATGGTTCCACATTCAAACATACAGTCCATTTATAAGTGGTAGAACTTTCAGTAACAACGTGAACAGATTCTAGCAAGATTAGAATGTATACATTCTTTACTTGATGCAATTCTCTGCAAGAGGCATAATAGTGAGAGAGAATACAGTAATAAGCTAAATATACTATATATAACTTACATTTTAACAATATTATTTTACAGGCTATATTTTTGAAGTGTCAGGTAATAAAAATGTATAATTGCATCGAAATAGATGTCACAATTATTGTAAGTAATTTTAGTGAACAAATGTTTGCTTCTTTTTTCAGGTGAAATGAAGAAACTGTGTTTGAAGTATTTGAAAAACGTATAACTTTTCATACTTCCATTTATTTTATCCATACATATATTGTAACTGTTTTCCTGCTTGTCTTCGTTGTTGCTTTGGTTTGAATAGTTCAACTGTAGAGGTTAGATTTGTAAATATTTCATGGTGCCTTTTTACCCTATTAAGATAATAAAAGTTGAACTGAAGTAAACTACAGTGTATTGTTCTTCCTTTACCATTGCTCCATCCATTACCTTCTACCCCCAAGCCATAAGACTGCTAAACAGTTCATCAAATGGCTACCCAGACTATTTGTATTGACCCCCTTTTTACGCTGCTGGTACTCGCTGTTTATTATCTATGCATAGTCAGTCACTTTACCCCTACCTACATGTACATATTACCTCAATTTGTACATGATTTATTGTCTTACTATAAAAACAATTCTGCATTGTTGGTTAAGGGCTTGTAAGTAAGCATTTCACGGTAAGGCCTACACCTGTAGTAGATACAAATTTGATTTGATTTGAGAAATACAATGCAGCTGAAAGGTTGTATTATAATGTTTTATAAATATTGAAGAAACACATTTCTTATTTACGGTTTAATTAGTATACTTGTTGTTTAAAAGTTATTTTAGAACTGTGTGGCTGTTGTGATGTGTGGCTGAATCTACAGTAACTAATCTACGTTTTCTATTTGCTGGATGCTGCGTATTGGGTTCTGCATGAACACATCTGGAATCAGTGGGCCTTGCTACACTTGGTATGCAAAATATTCTGAAATAGCTTGATGGGTTGTCAAGAAAACAAAAATGTAACACCAAGTGGTAAGAAGTTACATAACAGAAGTAGAGAAGAGAACTCTTATTTAAATAGCTCGGAAACATGCAAATGGAAACCGATTTCCTTAAGCAGAACCAGACCTCACACCTGGCTTCTGATACACACGGTTGCTCAGCAACATGTTTCACTTCTGTTTTTTTGGATGCTTTTTTGGGGATCAGGGTGTTTCCCCACACTTCAGCCTGCTGCATTCCCTGTTCGCTGAGGCCTGTTCTGCTCTAACACCTGCGTTTCACAACCCTCCAACTCCACATCTGACCACTACCACTACCAGCTCTCAGGGCCCAGCCACCCAGCTACTTAATAGGTCCATAGCTCCATCTAGGCTATGTTACAATTCATTACACTGAGCCCAGGCCTGGATTTAATACATTGGGTTACTTAAAACTGCAGAAACAAAGGTATGAAGAATTTGATTCACAGTTTACAATCTGACTTTGGTTTACAATTTTACTCCTCCTTCCACCTTGCATTAGTGCAACGGGTCATTCCTCCAAAAATCACCCTAAATCCTCTCTGGGAGGAAGTGGAGGGAGGATCGAAGGTGGGACTCCTCTGCATCCTGAGTGGGTTCTACCCCGATGAGCTGAGTGTGGAGTGGCTGCTGGATGGCAAGGCTCTGACCAACTCTCCAGTCCAGCGGAAGCTGCAGAGTGTAGAAGTTGAGGAGAAAACTTTCAGCCTGAGCAGCCAGCTGGAGCTGGACCGGAGCCAATGGACTCAAGGGTCAGAGGTCACATGCAAGGCCACCCACAATGCAGCACAAGGACCACCTCCAGGACCACCAGTCTCCAGGACCACAAGCATTTGCTCAGGTGGGTTTCAGTGACAGCACCGTGTATTGGTCCAGAGGATGGGTATAGAAAAGTGTACAATTGAAAGACATAGTAACAATCCAAATCTGCAAGTCTTGTGACATCTCCATCTGTTTTCCTCACAGCGTTTCACTCGTCTACTCCATCCATCCACCTGGAGACCCCCAGATTCAGGACAGTGATGACACAGACTGAGGTAACAGCTACATGTGTGGTCCACTCTGCGTATGATGCCAAAGTGACCTGGCTTCTGGATGGAAAAGACCCAACCAGCAGGACCCCAGTGAACCAGGCCAGCAGCACAACTCAGAGTATCAGCAGTAACCTGACTCTTCCCTCAAGCCAATGGAAAACCCTGAACACAATAACATGCAGAGCTGAACATCGCTGCTTCAAGCCCACACAGAAGACCAGTAATGTTAAAGGTTAGAATGGAACTTTGTGATCATATACACTACCGTTCAAAAGTTTGGGGTCACTTAGAAATGTCCTTGTTTTCCATGAAAACATACATGAAATTAGTTTGAATAGGAAATATAGCAAAATGAATAGGAAATGTAGTCATTGACAAGGTTAGAAATAATGATTTTTAATTGAAATAATAATTGTGTCCTTCAAACTTTGCTTTCATCAAATAATCCTCCATTTGCAGCAATTACAGCCTTGCAGACCTTTGGCATTGTAGTTGTCAATTTGTTGAGGTAATATGAAGAGATTTCACCCCATGCTTCCTGAAGCACCTCCCACAAGTTGGATTGGCTTGGTGGGCACTTCTTACGTACCATACGGTCAACCTGCTCCCACAACAGCTCAATAGGTTGAGATCCGGTGACTGTGCTGGCCACTCCACTATAGACAGAATACCAGCTGACTGCTTCTTCCCTAAATAGTTCTTGCATAGTTTGGAGTTGTGCTTTGGGTCATTATCCTGTTGTAGGAGGAAATTGGTTCCAATCAAGCGCCGTCCACAGGGTATGGCATGGCGTTGCAAAATGGAGCGATAGACTTCCTTCTTCAAGATCCCTTTTACCCTGTACAAATCTCCCACTTTACCACCACCAAAGCACCCCCAGACCATCACATTGCCTCCACCATGCTAGACAGATGGCATCAAGCACTCCTCCAGCATCTTATAATTTGTTCTGCGTCTCACAAATGTTCTTCTTTGTGATCCGAACATCTCAAACTTCGATTCGTCTGTCCAAAACACTTTTTTCCAATCTTCCTCTGTCCAGTGTCTGTGTTCTTTTGACCATCTTAAACTTTTATTTTTATTGGCCAGTCTATGTAGATATTCCATTACAAATCAGCCATTTCCAGCTACAATAGCCATTTACAACATTAATAATGTCTACACTGTATTTCTGATCAGTTTGATGTTACTTTAATGGACAAAAAAATTGATTTTCTTTTGAAAACAAGGATATCTCTAAGTGACCCCAATTTTTGAACAGTAATACTGTATATACAGAGAGAAGTACAGCAAAACATTGTCTTCTTACAATCCTACCACATAAAAAGGTATGAAGAATTTGATTCAAAGTTTACAATCTGACTTTGGTTTACAATTTTACTCCTCCTTCCACCTTGCATTAGTGCAACGGGTCATTCCTCCAAAAATCACCCTAAATCCTCTCTGGGAGGAAGTGGAGGGAGGATCGAAGGTGGGACTCCTCTGCATCCTGAGTGGGTTCTACCCCGATGAGCTGAGTGTGGAGTGGCTGCTGGATGGCAAGGCTCTGACCAACTCTCCAGTCCAGCGGAAGCTGCAGAGTGTAGAAGGTGAGGAGAAAACTTTCAGCCTGAGCAGCCAGCTGGAGCTGGACCGGAGCCAATGGACTCAAGGGTCAGAGGTCACATGCAAGGCCACCCACAATGCAGCACAAGGACCACCTCCAGGACCACCAGTCTCCAGGACCACAAGCATTTGCTCAGGTGGGTTTCAGTGACAGCACCGTGTATTGGTCCAGAGGATGGGTATAGAAAAGTGTACAATTGAAAGACATAGTAACAATCCAAATCTGCAAGTCTTGTGACATCTCCATCTGTTTTCCTCACAGCGTTTCACTCGTCTACTCCATCCATCCACCTGGAGACCCCCAGATTCAGGACAGTGATGACACAGACTGAGGTAACAGCTACATGTGTGGTCCACTCTGCGTATGATGCCAAAGTGACCTGGCTTCTGGATGGAAAAGACCCAACCAGCAGGACCCCAGTGAACCAGGCCAGCAGCACAACTCAGAGTATCAGCAGTAACCTGACTCTTCCCTCAAGCCAATGGAAAACCCTGAACACAATAACATGCAGAGCTGAACATCGCTGCTTCAAGCCCACACAGAAGACCAGTAATGTTAAAGGTTAGAATGGAACTTTGTGATCATATACACTACCGTTCAAAAGTTTGGGGTCACTTAGAAATGTCCTTGTTTTCCATGAAAACATACATGAAATTAGTTTGAATAGGAAATATAGCAAAATGAATAGGAAATGTAGTCATTGACAAGGTTAGAAATAATGATTTTTAATTGAAATAATAATTGTGTCCTTCAAACTTTGCTTTCATCAAATAATCCTCCATTTGCAGCAATTACAGCCTTGCAGACCTTTGGCATTGTAGTTGTCAATTTGTTGAGGTAATATGAAGAGATTTCACCCCATGCTTCCTGAAGCACCTCCCACAAGTTGGATTGGCTTGGTGGGCACTTCTTACGTACCATACGGTCAACCTGCTCCCACAACAGCTCAATAGGTTGAGATCCGGTGACTGTGCTGGCCACTCCACTATAGACAGAATACCAGCTGACTGCTTCTTCCCTAAATAGTTCTTGCATAGTTTGGAGTTGTGCTTTGGGTCATTATCCTGTTGTAGGAGGAAATTGGTTCCAATCAAGCGCCGTCCACAGGGTATGGCATGGCGTTGCAAAATGGAGCGATAGACTTCCTTCTTCAAGATCCCTTTTACCCTGTACAAATCTCCCACTTTACCACCACCAAAGCACCCCCAGACCATCACATTGCCTCCACCATGCTAGACAGATGGCATCAAGCACTCCTCCAGCATCTTATAATTTGTTCTGCGTCTCACAAATGTTCTTCTTTGTGATCCGAACATCTCAAACTTCGATTCGTCTGTCCAAAACACTTTTTTCCAATCTTCCTCTGTCCAGTGTCTGTGTTCTTTTGACCATCTTAAACTTTTATTTTTATTGGCCAGTCTATGTAGATATTCCATTACAAATCAGCCATTTCCAGCTACAATAGCCATTTACAACATTAATAATGTCTACACTGTATTTCTGATCAGTTTGATGTTACTTTAATGGACAAAAAAATTGATTTTCTTTTGAAAACAAGGATATCTCTAAGTGACCCCAATTTTTGAACAGTAATACTGTATATACAGAGAGAAGTACAGCAAAACATTGTCTTCTTACAATCCTACCACATAAAAAGGTATGAAGAATTTGATTCAAAGTTTACAATCTGACTTTGGTTTACAATTTTACTCCTCCTTCCACCTTGCATTAGTGCAACGGGTCATTCCTCCAAAAATCACCCTAAATCCTCTCTGGGAGGAAGTGGAGGGAGGATCGAAGGTGGGACTCCTCTGCATCCTGAGTGGGTTCTACCCCGATGAGCTGAGTGTGGAGTGGCTGCTGGATGGCAAGGCTCTGACCAACTCTCCAGTCCAGCGGAAGCTGCAGAGTGTAGAAGGTGAGGAGAAAACTTTCAGCCTGAGCAGCCAGCTGGAGCTGGACCGGAGCCAATGGACTCAAGGGTCAGAGGTCACATGCAAGGCCACCCACAATGCAGCACAAGGACCACCTCCAGGACCACCAGTCTCCAGGACCACAAGCATTTGCTCAGGTGGGTTTCAGTGACAGCACCGTGTATTGGTCCAGAGGATGGGTATAGAAAAGTGTACAATTGAAAGACATAGTAACAATCCAAATCTGCAAGTCTTGTGACATCTCCATCTGTTTTCCTCACAGCGTTTCACTCGTCTACTCCATCCATCCACCTGGAGACCCCCAGATTCAGGACAGTGATGACACAGACTGAGGTAACAGCTACATGTGTGGTCCACTCTGCGTATGATGCCAAAGTGACCTGGCTTCTGGATGGAAAAGACCCAACCAGCAGGACCCCAGTGAACCAGGCCAGCAGCACAACTCAGAGTATCAGCAGTAACCTGACTCTTCCCTCAAGCCAATGGAAAACCCTGAACACAATAACATGCAGAGCTGAACATCGCTGCTTCAAGCCCACACAGAAGACCAGTAATGTTAAAGGTTAGAATGGAACTTTGTGATCATATACACTACCGTTCAAAAGTTTGGGGTCACTTAGAAATGTCCTTGTTTTCCATGAAAACATACATGAAATTAGTTTGAATAGGAAATATAGCAAAATGAATAGGAAATGTAGTCATTGACAAGGTTAGAAATAATGATTTTTAATTGAAATAATAATTGTGTCCTTCAAACTTTGCTTTCATCAAATAATCCTCCATTTGCAGCAATTACAGCCTTGCAGACCTTTGGCATTGTAGTTGTCAATTTGTTGAGGTAATATGAAGAGATTTCACCCCATGCTTCCTGAAGCACCTCCCACAAGTTGGATTGGCTTGGTGGGCACTTCTTACGTACCATACGGTCAACCTGCTCCCACAACAGCTCAATAGGTTGAGATCCGGTGACTGTGCTGGCCACTCCACTATAGACAGAATACCAGCTGACTGCTTCTTCCCTAAATAGTTCTTGCATAGTTTGGAGTTGTGCTTTGGGTCATTATCCTGTTGTAGGAGGAAATTGGTTCCAATCAAGCGCCGTCCACAGGGTATGGCATGGCGTTGCAAAATGGAGCGATAGACTTCCTTCTTCAAGATCCCTTTTACCCTGTACAAATCTCCCACTTTACCACCACCAAAGCACCCCCAGACCATCACATTGCCTCCACCATGCTAGACAGATGGCATCAAGCACTCCTCCAGCATCTTATAATTTGTTCTGCGTCTCACAAATGTTCTTCTTTGTGATCCGAACATCTCAAACTTCGATTCGTCTGTCCAAAACACTTTTTTCCAATCTTCCTCTGTCCAGTGTCTGTGTTCTTTTGACCATCTTAAACTTTTATTTTTATTGGCCAGTCTATGTAGATATTCCATTACAAATCAGCCATTTCCAGCTACAATAGCCATTTACAACATTAATAATGTCTACACTGTATTTCTGATCAGTTTGATGTTACTTTAATGGACAAAAAAATTGATTTTCTTTTGAAAACAAGGATATCTCTAAGTGACCCCAATTTTTGAACAGTAATACTGTATATACAGAGAGAAGTACAGCAAAACATTGTCTTCTTACAATCCTACCACATAAAAAGGTATGAAGAATTTGATTCAAAGTTTACAATCTGACTTTGGTTTACAATTTTACTCCTCCTTCCACCTTGCATTAGTGCAACGGGTCATTCCTCCAAAAATCACCCTAAATCCTCTCTGGGAGGAAGTGGAGGGAGGATCGAAGGTGGGACTCCTCTGCATCCTGAGTGGGTTCTACCCCGATGAGCTGAGTGTGGAGTGGCTGCTGGATGGCAAGGCTCTGACCAACTCTCCAGTCCAGCGGAAGCTGCAGAGTGTAGAAGGTGAGGAGAAAACTTTCAGCCTGAGCAGCCAGCTGGAGCTGGACCGGAGCCAATGGACTCAAGGGTCAGAGGTCACATGCAAGGCCACCCACAATGCAGCACAAGGACCACCTCCAGGACCACCAGTCTCCAGGACCACAAGCATTTGCTCAGGTGGGTTTCAGTGACAGCACCGTGTATTGGTCCAGAGGATGGGTATAGAAAAGTGTACAATTGAAAGACATAGTAACAATCCAAATCTGCAAGTCTTGTGACATCTCCATCTGTTTTCCTCACAGCGTTTCACTCGTCTACTCCATCCATCCACCTGGAGACCCCCAGATTCAAGACAGTGATGACACAGACTGAGGTAACAGCTACATGTGTGGTCCACTCTGCGTATGATGCCAAAGTGACCTGGCTTCTGGATGGAAAAGACCCAACCAGCAGGACCCCAGTGAACCAGGCCAGCAGCACAACTCAGAGTATCAGCAGTAACCTGACTCTTCCCTCAAGCCAATGGAAAACCCTGAACACAATAACATGCAGAGCTGAACATCGCTGCTTCAAGCCCACACAGAAGACCAGTAATGTTAAAGGTTAGAATGGAACTTTGTGATCATATACACTACCGTTCAAAAGTTTGGGGTCACTTAGAAATGTCCTTGTTTTCCATGAAAACATACATGAAATTAGTTTGAATAGGAAATATAGCAAAATGAATAGGAAATGTAGTCATTGACAAGGTTAGAAATAATGATTTTTAATTGAAATAATAATTGTGTCCTTCAAACTTTGCTTTCATCAAATAATCCTCCATTTGCAGCAATTACAGCCTTGCAGACCTTTGGCATTGTAGTTGTCAATTTGTTGAGGTAATATGAAGAGATTTCACCCCATGCTTCCTGAAGCACCTCCCACAAGTTGGATTGGCTTGGTGGGCACTTCTTACGTACCATACGGTCAACCTGCTCCCACAACAGCTCAATAGGTTGAGATCCGGTGACTGTGCTGGCCACTCCACTATAGACAGAATACCAGCTGACTGCTTCTTCCCTAAATAGTTCTTGCATAGTTTGGAGTTGTGCTTTGGGTCATTATCCTGTTGTAGGAGGAAATTGGTTCCAATCAAGCGCCGTCCACAGGGTATGGCATGGCGTTGCAAAATGGAGCGATAGACTTCCTTCTTCAAGATCCCTTTTACCCTGTACAAATCTCCCACTTTACCACCACCAAAGCACCCCCAGACCATCACATTGCCTCCACCATGCTAGACAGATGGCATCAAGCACTCCTCCAGCATCTTATAATTTGTTCTGCGTCTCACAAATGTTCTTCTTTGTGATCCGAACATCTCAAACTTCGATTCGTCTGTCCAAAACACTTTTTTCCAATCTTCCTCTGTCCAGTGTCTGTGTTCTTTTGACCATCTTAAACTTTTATTTTTATTGGCCAGTCTGAGATATGGCTTTTCCTTTGCAACTCTGCCTAGAAGGTCAGCATCCCGGAGTCGCCTCTTCACTGTTGACGTTGAGACTGGTGTTTTGCGGGTACTATTTAATGAAGCTGCCAGCAGAGGACCTGTGAGGCGTCTGTTTCTCAAACTAGACGCTCTAATGTATTTGTCCTCTTGCTCAGTTGTGCACCGGGGCCTCCCACTCCTCTTTCTATTCTGGTTAGAGCCAGTTTGCGCTGTTCTGTGAAGGGAGTAGCACACAGCGTTGTACGAGAACCTCAGTTTCTTGGGCATTCCTCGCATGGAATAGACTTCATTTCTCAGAACAAGAATAGACTGCCGAGTTTCAGAAGTTCTTTGTTTCTGGCCATTTTGAGCCTGTAATCGAACCCACAATTGCTGATGCTCCATATACTCAACTAGTCTCAAGAAGGCCAGTTTTATTGCTTCTTTAATCAGCACAACAGTTTTCAGCTGTGCTAACATAATTGCAAAAGGTGATTCTAATGATCAATTAGCCTTTTAAAATGATCAACTTGGATTAGCAAACACAACGTGCCATTGGAACACAAGACTGATGGTTATTGATAATGGGCCTCTGTACGCCTATGTAGATATTCCATTATAAATCAACCATTTCCAGCTACAATATCCAGTTACAACATTAATAATGTCTACACTGTATTTAAGATCAGTTTGATGTTATTTTAATGGACAAAAACATTGCTTTTCTTTTGAAAACAAGGACATTTCTAAGTGACCCCAACTTTTGAACAGTAGTTTATACAGAGAGGACTACAGCAAAACATTCAGTCTTCTTACAATCCTATTGACACTGAAGCCAGATTAATGTTCCTTTCTCCTGTTGATCTCTCTACTCTGTGGGTGTTTTCTCCAGGACCTGCAGTGAGCAGCACTCCCACAGTGCTGATCAGGAGGTCTCTCCCAGACTTACTGAATGGAGACAGTGCTGTGCTGGAGTGTGCCATCACAAATCTCTCCTCCAGTGACCTCTACGTCACCTTTCAGGCCAATGGGGTTGATTTCCCTGAGAAACAGTATGTGGATCTGCCTGCCTCCAAAGACCACCATTCACTCACCAGACGCTTCTCTGTCCCCACATCACACTGGAAAACAGACAGCACTTTCACCTGTAAAGTAAACCAAGGCTTCTCCAACAGCTGGGTGTCTAACTCCACAGGAAAGCTTTTTGGTGGGTGAACTTCTCTCGTCGTTACCTTATGATACCATCTAAATTTTTTATGTAATTAGGCCTACCAACATTAAATTAAGTTTCCATTGTTTGTTGCATAGTCTTAATTTAGAACTCAATAGTTCTAAAATGGAAAAGTGTTTGTATTGTTTCCAGGTGAACCGTCCATGGAGCTTCTTCTAGTGCCCAGTGAGGAGACGTCAGGCTCAGGGACCCAGAAACTCATATGTTCTGGGTGGGGCTTCAACCCTCAGATCAAGTGGCTCTCTGGGTTTGAACAGAGGTCTGCAGCAGCCTATGAGATTATGATGGGGGAAGACGAACGTGTGGCAGTAACCAGTCATATCACAGTAACACAGCAGGAGTGGAACCAGGGGAAGGACTTCACCTGTGAGGTCATCGACAAGTATCTTCAGAAAGAGGAACTTCAGAAAGTCAGGAAGAGCATCAATAGATGTGCAGGTAGTTTTTGGTATTATGACATATACTATCCTTGAGCAGTGATATAGGCCTATAGCCTAACCATCATTCAGTAATGTAGGCATTCTTTAGAGCAATATCTGAACGTAGCTTAAAACACTCAATTCCCTTTCCTCTCAGTGACTCCAATATCATCTCAGAAAGTTGGGGTTTACCTACAGGGACCCACTCTTCGGAAGTTGAGTACAGATGGACAGGTGCCTGTCACCTGCCTGCTGGTGGGTCCCAGCCTTGAGGACTTTTCTGTTAGCTGGAAGGTGGATGGGGTTGTGGCTTCCCAAGGTGGGGTCAGATGGGCCCCCAAGGACCATTCCAATGGGACACAGACTGTGCAGATAATGTTTAACGTGTCTGCGAGGGACTGGCATGCACACAAACGTGTGTTGTGTGAGGTGAAGCACCGCTGCTCCAGCCAAGCCCAGGAGGAGCATATCACTAAATGCAGAGGTAGGCTAATTCAACACTCAATTGGCACACATAACCCAGAATGCTGATGTTGATACATACATACATCTTTGTGCATGCTATTGCATCAGTGCTTATCTGACATATTACTAAACAATATATTTATGTTACATTTTATTGAATAGGCCCAAAATCAACTAACTAATCAATTTTATTTTCATTTGTTTTGTCCCTCCAGATCCCAAGCCACCCTCTATAAAGATAGTGAGACCATCAGATTCTGATCTATGGGGTTCAAATAATGCCACACTGCTTTGCTTAGTGTCTGGGTTCTTCCCCTCTGATGTAATAGTGAATTGGGAGAAGGCTGGCAGTCGCCTACCTTTATCTCACTACTCCACTAGTCCTTCAGTCCTTTATGCAGGGAGAAGCACCTACGCCATGAACAGTAGACTCATCGTGCCCAGGTCCGAGTGGAATCAGGACTCCAATTACTCCTGTGTTGTCAGACACGAGTCGTCCGAGAGACCTATCACCAGCACAATAGCGAATGTATTTGGTGAGTGGACTGTTGATTTGAACAGTGCCATGAATTTGATTGTAATAACATGTACTGATGAATAGTAATAATGTTGGTTGATGGTTGATAATGTTGTCTGATGACTTGGAGAGTTTGGATGAGAAAAACAACAGAGATTTGCGGTTAGTGTGTCTCCCAGTCTGTCGCTCTATCGTCTTTAACCTACAGTAGGTCTACAGATAGGCTATTCAATCCCACAAACCCTTCACTGTGTCAATAATATGGTCATCATGACAGAAATGTAGGCTAGGTCAGCAGACCAATCTTGAGTTGCATATAGAATTAACCTCAGACTATTTCCAATAGCAAAAAATGTATAAACACCACAGAATAACATTCACTCAATATATTGCTAAATTAGTCAAATTTGCTAACCAAAATCGTATTAGCGCACTGGTTATGTTTAGCTATAGCTAGCTAGCTAACCCAGCTAGCTCAGCTATATTGTTATGCTAGCTAGTGCTTTAATTTGCTCCTTTTTCTAACAAGCAAAACAAAACATGGAAATATTTCCACGTTTAGCCAATCATTATAACTCATAAGTGTAAACATGTAAAAAGTATGCTATTTGATTTGAGTAGTTAAAAGGACATACCGATATATCCTTTCTTCTCAGCAAGTTCTCAACTCCAAGGTTCCAAAGTTTTGGTACCAAACTCACATGCGGTCGAGTGCCGTGCGGGACTGAATGTAAAGTCTAGACAGGAACAAACCATTTCAAATGCAAACCCTAGTGACACTGATACAACACCACCACCAATAATAATCTGCGTTAATAGCTGCCAAGGAGCGGATTCTGGATTTGCAGTCGACAAGGGTTTCGAAAAGTAGATATACTGTAGCTACAACATAATAGTTTATGGCTGCAGACTGCAGAGAGAGTCTATGAATGATACAATTCAGTAAGACGCAAACATTGCCCCCAAAAATTAATAGCATTTAGGGTACAAGGAGTTTCAGCACAATGTCTCAAAGTATGTACATACTTAATTCAGTCATCATCACTCATAAAAATCAAATCAAATAAAAGTTTATTGGTCATGTACACAGTTTTGTTTATGTTATCGCAGGTGCAGCGAAATGTTTATGTTTCTAGCTACAACAATCCAGCAATATCTAGCGATACAATAATAATACATAATCTAAAAGTTAAAAATTAAAACGTATCAGAACGAGCAATGTTTCATTTCCCATCCATCAGGTTTTTCCCCATAATCAGATACCTTTACCCCAGTTCCTGTCCTGCTTCAGCATCCACCCTCATTCAGTTTCTCTCTTCCTCTCCATCCACCCAGTTTCTCTACCAGACTATCAGTCATGCTGCCCCCACTCTCCCCAGTCTCATCCACTCCAGTCTCTCCCTCCCTGACACTCACTATCTCTCTCTCCAGCCTCAGTGACCCACTCCGCACCAACAGCCACCCTGCTCCAGGGTCCCAGTGAGCTTGTCTGCCTGGTGTTTGGCTTCAGCCCTTCACACATCAACATCACCTGGCTGCTGGACGACATCACAGAGCTGTGGAACCACAACACTAGCACCCCCTACAGGGCACCAGGGGGAAAGTTCATCATCAGGAGCCACCTGAGCCTGGCGCCCCAGGACTGGGCACCGGGGGCTGTTTACACCTGCAGGGTGACCCACACCACCCAGACTCTGGCCCTGAACATATCCAAACCAGGTGTCTGTCTGTCTGTTCACTCACTTCTGATACAATAACATTTGCCTGGTACTAGCCTCTTTCTAACCGTATATGCTCTGTTTCACCATTGTAATAGAGCATTTCAGTTTGGATTCCAGGCTAGCCTGTTTCTGCAACTCTTTCTCACTGAAAATCTGCTCTTTCATTTTGAGTAGAGCTCCTTGAGGTGGAGGGTGTGTTCTTTGACGAGAACAGGTCTGATCCCATCCTGGCGGACACTGCAGAGGAGAACTGGAACATGGCCTGCATCTTCCTGGTCCTCTTCCTCATCTCCCTCCTCTACAGCATCACAGTCACTCTGGTCAAGGTGAGAGGGAGGATATAACCACCTCACAGGTTTTCACAGCCTGGCTTTGAAGTGTAAAGATATGTTTGTGAGGTTTGCCTTTTTTTCTTTTAAGAAGAATGCATTATTTTATCTCTGTGTGTCTTTACTGCTTTGACGCCCTGTTGAAGCACCTGTTGAGTTTCAGGTATCTAATGTCATCCCACACAGAGGGTATTCAGATTATCGTCATGTTGAATATAAATCAAATTGGTCTCCCCAGAGGCTATATGTTTTTTTTGTTTGTATTTTGTATCTGTCACTGCAATCTCATTATCACACTTACTCTCATTGTATTGCTGGATAAGCCACATTTACACTTGGTGTTCTCACATCTTATTCAGCATCTTGAATGTAAAACAAGCATTCCAAGGTTTTCACATCAACTTATACTTACTTCCTTTTTAATTTTTTATTTCAGACAAAATGATGACTTCAGGACACTGGAAGGTTCAACTGGAAATAAAACCATTTATTTCAACCTTTTCTTATATAATCACAACATATTTCTTTATAACATTGCATAGATTGAATTACTTACGGTCTCCGGTAGCAGGTTTGATGACAGAGAAGTGTTTTGTGTTTTTTTCCCCCACAAAGACAGACAATGTTGTGGTGCGCTTACTTGCTCTCATCTCTTGTTAATGCATTATAGAATCTTCGAGCAGAGATAAACATTTATGTTTAACCACTATTAAATAAAACATACTCATGCCATTACTCTCTATGATGAAGTGTTTAGACACCAGTTATTGCTGAATTATCTGCTGATAATAAAATATTATTTCAAACGACCTACTTTGTCCTCCTCCCTCTTGTGTGTTATTTGTAGTTTATAGTTTTTAAATCATGTTTAAAAATATATACCATTAGTAAGAATATAAATAATGTTTCATATCTGATTTGACATAAATACATATAGAGAACAACATTAAAATACCACATAAGTAGGACCATGCTTTTTGGTTGTTTTTCTGGCACTTTCTACTGGTATTTCCAGCATGATGCACTAGGTTTGCTTCTGGTAGAAAATCCTAGGAAACGTTCTTTCATTGACACACGCTTTCTCCAATCAATCAATCACAGTCGTGTTGTGATTGTGTGTTTGGTGGGGGGATTCGCCTAAGCCAGGGGAGACCTAGCTCTGTGAATCTTAATTACACAAAGCCTATTATTTGGCAGGGAAAATTATTTGTAGATCAGCCTCCCCTGGCTTAGGCGATCCCCCCACCAAACACACACGCACAATCAGACATTCATTGATTGATTGATTGGAGAAAGCTTGTGTCAATTAAATAACATTTCTTAGGATTTTCTACCAGCAGCAAAAAATAATAACCTTTGCTGACATACACCTTTTGTTTCAGCACTGCAACACCTTTGTTGCCCACTAGAGGACACCACAAGACTGTGGTACATCTGACTGTGGGCTGGTACATTTCCCATGTGAAAGGCCAGTCATGTGTGGCAATGGTCACTGGTCTGTATGCAGATGCTCACAGGTCAGAAATCACCTGGAAATATTAGCTGGCTGCGTTCAGGGAAGGTCCCCATGACAACAGAGGAAGAGACAGTTGCATTATTCTCAAAATGTCTGCATATGTCTGCAAGAAAAAATTAAAGCGTGTGAGTGTGAAAATCTGCGAGAGTGTGTGTTTGCTCATATGTCTACGACATGTGAGTGTGTGTGTGTGTATGTAATCTGGAGGGTTTGAAGGAAATCACATTGGGGAGGGAAGAGACTGAGTTCACCCAGCCTGGCTGGATCTCGTGTAATCTGGCATCGTCGGTGCTCTGATTGGCTTAGACCGCCATGGCTGAGAACCAATGCTCTGATGCTGTTGCCGGGACGGAGTCACAGCATGTTGCCAACCGACGTGCCATGGGGCTGGCAACAGGGGAGAGGAGGGCACAATGCCCAGCAGGCTGCCCATCCAGAAGGGTCTCCCTGTCTGACCACCTCTCTCTCTCCATCTGACCCTCTCCCCAGTCTCAATCACCAACCATGGAGAAATAACCAGTGAACATCCTCACTCAATAGGGCACAGACAAATGACAGCCGTTCATCCTCATTATGATCGACCACATCAGCATCTCATTGGCAAGCACAGTGATCACCATAATGACTACCACCTACATACACACTTGGATAAAAAGGTGCTAAGTAGAACCATACAGGGTTCTTTGAATATGTCAAACTCAATCCATGGAAGGCCAAGTGTCTGCGGGTTTTCACTCCACCCTTGTACTTGATTGATTAATTAAGGTCACTAATTAATAAGGAACTCCCCACACCTGGTTGTCTAGATCTTAATTGAAAGTAAAAACCAAACACCTGCAGACACTTGGCCCTCCTTGGAATGATTTTGACACCCCTGCCATAGGGGAACCCTTTTTTGGTGATGGGTAGAACCCTTTGTAGAGGGTTCTATCTAGAACCCTTTATGAAGGGTTCTTCAAAGGACCCCCTGTATATGCTTCTTCCTAGAACCGTCTATGAAGGGTTCTACCGAGAACCCTTTTATCTTTGGAGGGTTCGTCCTAGAAGCCTCTATGAACAGTTCCACCAGCCTTATTAGCCTTTACATTATAATTATTATGACAATACATTACATATATCATAAGGCCTTTCTTTGAGTGCTATACCCAAACACAGTTGTGTTAGGAATCTCCTGGTTTAGAGGCCACATCAGGCCTGCAAGTCACATTATACTGGCTTGCAAAGTGACATGTAATTCCTATTGGAATGCAGCCAGAGTTAGGATATCCAACAAGTGGAATTGTTAATCACCTGCAACCTGCATTTAAAATGACTGCTAGGGTAGGGAAGATTGAATAATGAGACTACCTCAATCATATAAACTGGAACAACCATCTCAGTAACTGGTGCAATAAATCCAATTACTAACAGATTGGATTAGTTTAGTAAACGATATGTTATTTATTTTTGTGTAGCATAAAATGAATCAACCAATCAATGAATACTGAACAGAAATAGAAAAGTAAAGTTTTGGTCCCATGTTTCATGAGTTGAAATATAAGATCCAAGAAATGTTCCATACGCACAAAAAGCTTATTTCAGATTTTATGCACAAATGTCTTTACATCCCTGTTATGACCATTTCTCCTTTGCCAAGATAATCCATCCACCTGACAGGTGTGGCATATCAAGAAGCTGATTAAACAGCATGATCCTTACACAGGTGCACATTCTGCTGCGGACAATAAAAGGTCACTCTAAAATGTGCAGTTTTGTCACACAATACAATGCCACATATGTCTCAAGTTTTGAGGGAGCGTGCAATTAGCCTGCTGACTACAGGAATGTCCACCAGAGCTGTTGCCAGATAATTGAATGTTAATTTCTCTACCATAAGCCATACCAGAGAATTTGGCAGTACATCCAACCAGCCTCACAACCACAGGCCACATGTAATCACGCCAGCCCAGGAACTACACATCCGGCTTCTTCACCTGCGGGATCGTCTGAGACCAGCCATCCGGACAGCTGATGAAACTGTGGATTTGCACAATAGAAGAATTTTGGCACAAACTGTCTCAGGGAAGCTCATCTGCGTGCTCGTCGTCCTCACCAGGGTCTTGACCTGACTGAAGTTCGGCATGGTAACTGACTTCAGTGGGCAAATGCTCACTTTCGATGACCACTGGGGTTATGGTATGGGCAGGCATAAGCTACGAACAACGAACACAATTGCATTTTATCGATGGCTATTTGAATGCACAGAGATACGGTGACGAGATCCTGAGGCCCATTGTCATGCCATTCATCCGCCGCCATCATCTCATGTTTCAGCATGATAATGCACAGCCCAATGTCGCAAGGATCTGTACTCTGAAAATGTCCCAGTTCTTTCATGGCCTGCATACTCAGACATGTCACCCATTGAGCATGTTTTGGATGCTCTAGATCGATGTGTACGACAGCATGTTCCAGTTATCCAGCATATCCAGCAACTTCGCACAGCCATTGAAGAGGAGTGGGACAACATTCCACAGGCCACAATCAACTGCCTGATCAACTCTATCCGAAGGAGATGTGTCGCGCTGCATGAGGCAAATGGTGGTCACACCAGATACTGACTGGTTTTCTGATCCAATCCCTTACCTTTTTTTAAAGGTATTTGTGACCAACAGATGCATATATGTATTCCCAGTCATGTGAAATCCATAGATTAGGGCCTAATTTATTTATTTAAATTGAGTGATTTCCTTATATGTACTGTAACTCAGTAAAATCTTTGAAATTGTTGCATGTTGCATTTATATTTTTGTTCAGTGTACATGCATAAACACAGATATTACAGTAAAACAAACCATTCTGAAATCTCCCTGCTATAGAGCATGCTTGGGAATCGAACCCACAACCCTGGCATTGCAAACGCCATGCTCTACCAACTGAGCTACACGACATTAACTAAAATGCCACCAAAATGACTTATCCATGAAATATGCAGACAACAGCTGTGAAAGTATTGATGGCAAAAATGCTCAGCCAATTCAACGTAGCCCTGCTGGAATATCAATCTATTTTCTCAGTTATTTAATATTGAATATCCATATTCTACATTGAGTGTAAAAAACATTAGGAACACCATTCTAATATTGAGTTGCACCCCATTTGCCCTCAGACAGCCTCAATTTGTCGGGACATGGACTCTACAAGGTGTCGAAAGTGTTTCATAGGGATGCTGGCCCATGTTGACTCTAATGCCTCCCACAGTTGTGTGAAGTTGGCTGGATGTCCTTTGGGTGGTGCACCATTCATGATACACAGGGGAAACTGTTGAGCGTGAAAACCCCAGCAACGTTGCAGTTCTTGACACACTCAAACCTGTGCACCTGGCACCTACTACCACACCCCGTTCAAAGGCTTTTAAATATTTTGTCTTTCCCATTCACCCTCGGAATGGCGCACATACACAATCCATGTCTCAATTTGTCTCAAGGCTTAAAAGTCCTTCTTTAACCTGTCTCCTCCCCTTCATCTACACTGATTGAAGTGGATTTAACAGGTGACATCAGTAAGGGGTCATACAGTGCCTTGCAAAACTATTCATCCCCCTTGGCACTTTTCCTATTTTGTTGCATTGCAACCTATAATTTAAATGGATTTTTATTTGGATTCCATGCAATGGACATACACAAAATAGTCCAAATTGGTGAAGTGAAATGAAAAAAATAACTTGTTCCAAAAAATTCTAAAAAATAAATAACGTAAAGTGGTGCGTGCATATGTATTCACCCGCTTTGCTATGAAGCCCCTAAATAAGATCTGGTGCAACCACTTACCTTCAGAAGTCACATAATTAGTTAAATAAAGTCCACCTGGGTGCAATCTAGGTGTCACATGATCTGTCACACGATCTCAGTATATATACACCTGTTCTGAAAGGCCCCAGAGTCTGCAAAACCACTAAGCAAGGGGCACCACCAAGCAAGCGGCACCATAAAGACCAAGGAGCTCTCCTAACAGGTCAGGGACAAAGATGTGGAGAAGTACAGGTCAGGGTTGGGTTATAAAAAAATATCAGAAACTTTGAACATCCCACAGAGCACCATAAAATCCATTATAAAAAAATTGAAAGAATATGGCACCCCAACAAACCTGCCAAGAGAGGGCCGCCCACCAAAACTCACGGACCAGGCAAGGATGGCATTAATCAGAGAGGCAACAAAGAGACCAAAGATAACCCTGAAGGAGCTGCAAAGCTCCACAGCGGAGATTGGAGTATCTGTCCATAGGACCACTTTAAGCCGTACACTCCACAGAGCTGGGCTTTACGGAAGAGTGGCCAGAAAAAAGCCATTGCTTAAAGAAAACAATAACCAAAACACTTTTGGTGTTCGCCAAAAGGCATGTGGGAGACTCCCCAAACATATGGAAGAAGGTACTCTGGTCAGATGAGACTAAAATTGAGCTTTTTGGCCATCAAGAAAACGCTATGTCTGGTGCAAACCCAACACCTCTCATCACCCCGAGAAGTATGGTGGTGGCAGCATCATGCTGTGGGGATGTTTTTCATCGGCAGGGACTGGGAAACGGGTCAGAATTGAAGGAATGATGGATGGTGCTAAATCCAGGGAAATTCTTGAGGGAAACCTGTTTCAGTCTTCCAGAGATTTGAGACTGGGACGGAGGTTCACCTTCCAACAAGACAATGTCCCTAAGCATACTGCTAAAGCAACACTCAAGTGGTTAAAGGGGAAACATTAAAATGTCTTGGAATGGCTTAGTCAAAGCCCAGACCTCAATCCAATTGAGAATCTGTGGTATGACTTAAAGATTGCTGTACACCAACGGAACCCATCCAACTTGAAGGAGCTGGAGCAGTTTTGCCTTGAAGAATGGGCAGAAATCCCAGTGGCTAGATTTGCCAAGCTAATAGATACAAACCCCAACAGACTTGCAGCTGTAATTGCTGCAAAAGGTGGCTCTACAAAGTATTGACTTTGGGGGGGGGGGGGGGGGGGTGAATAGTTATGCACGCTCAAGTTTTCTGTATTTTTGTCTTATTTCTTGTTTGTTTCACAATAAAACATATTTTGCATCTTCAAAGTGGTAGGCATGTTGTGTAAATCAAATGATACAAACCCCCCCAAAAAAAATCCATTTTAATTCCAGGTTGTAAGGCAACAAAATAGGAAAAATGCCAAGGGGGGTGAATACTTTCGCAAGCCACTGTAGCTTTCACCTGGATTCTCCTGGTCAATCTATGTCATGGAAAGATCAGGTGTACAGTGGGGAGAACAAGTATTTGATACACTGCCGATTTTGCAGGTTTTCCTACTTAGAAAGCATGTAGAGGTCTGTAATTTTGATCATAGGTACACTTCAACTGTGAGAGACGGAATCTAAAACAAAAATCCAGAAAATCACATTGTATGATTTTTAAGTAATTAATTTGCATTTTATTGCATGACATAAGTATTTGATACATCAGAAAAGCAGAACTTAATATTTGGTACAGAAACCTTTGTTTGCAATTACAGAGATCATACGTTTCCTGTAGGTCTTGAGCAGGTTTGCACATACTGCAGCAGGGATTTTGGCCCACTCCTCCATACAGACCTTCTCCAGATCCTTCAGGTTTCGGGGCTGTCTCTGGGCAATACGGACTTTCAGCTCCCTCCAAAGATGTTCTATTGGGTTCAGGTCTGGAGATTGGCTAGGCCACTCCAGGACCTTGAGATGCTTCTTACGGAGCCACTCCTTAGTTGCCCTGGCTGTGTGTTTCGGGTTGTCATGCTGGAAGACCCAGCCACAACCCATCTTCAATGCTCTTACTGAGGGAAGGAGGTTGTTGGCCAAGATCTCGCGATACATGGCCCCATCCATCCTCCCCTCAATACGGTGCATTCGTCCTGTCCCCTTTGCAGAAAAGCATCCCCAAAGAATGATGTTTCCACCTCCATGCTTCACGGTTGCGATGGTGTTCTTGGGATTGTACTCATCCTTCTTCTTCCTCCAAACACAGCGAGTGGAGTTTAGACCAAAAAGCTCAATTTTTGTCTCATCAGACCACATGACCTTCTCCCATTCCTCCTCTGGATCATCCAGATGGTCATTGGCAAACTTCAGACGAGCCTGGACATGCGCTGGCTTGAGCAGGGGGACCTTGCGTGCGCTGCAGGATTTTAATCCATGACGGCGTAGTGTGTTACTAATGGTTTTCTTTGAGACTGTGGTCCCAGCTCTCTTCAGGTCATTGACCAGGTCCTGTCGTGTAGTTCTGGGCTGATCCTTCACCTTCCTCATGATCATTGATGCCCCACGAGGTGAGATCTTGCATGGAGCCCCAGACCGAGGGTGATTGACCGTCATCTTGAACTTCTTCCATTTTCTAATAATTGCACAAACAGTTGTTGCATTCTCACCAAGCTGCTTGCCTATTGTCCTGTAGCCCATCCCAGCCTTGTGCAGGTCTACAATTTTATCCCTGATGTCCTTACACAGCTCTCTGGTCTTGGCCATTGTGGAGAGGTTGGAGTCTGTTTGACTGAGTGTGTGGACAGGTGTCTTTTATAAAGGTAACGAGTTCAAACAGGTGCAGTTAATACAGGTAATGAGTGGAGAACAGGAGGGCTTCTTAAAGAAAAACTAACAGGTCTGTGAGAGCCGGAATTCTTACTGGTTGGTAGGTGATCAAATACTTATGTCATGCAATAAAATGCAAATTAATTACTTTAAAATCATACAATGTGATTTCCTGGATTTTTGTTTTACATTCCGTCTCTCACAGTTGAAGTGTACCTATGATAAAAATTACAGACCACTACATGCTTTGTAAGTAGGAAAACCTGCAAAACCGGCAGTGTATCAAATACTTGTTCTCCCCACTGTATATCTGGTGCTGTGAATCATTTTGTACATTATGCCCTTCATTCTGATTGCTTCTATATTAGTAAAAGCATTTACATTTTATGAGGTCTGTAGTGCTCTATTGATCATGTTGGGGGAGGCCAGGGTTTCCCAAACTCGGTCCACGGGACCCCAAGGGGTGCACATTTTGTTTTTTGCCCTAGCACTACACAGCTGATTTAAATAATTAACTAATCATCAAGCTTTGATAATTTAAATCAGCTGTGTAGTGTTAGGGCAAAAAACAAAACGTGCATCCCTTGGGGTCCCGAAGACCGAGTTTGGGAAATGCTGGTATGGACTAAGGCATATGTCCTACACTGTAAAAACTAATTAGTTCAGCTAACAACATTGTTTTGTGGAAACGCATTGTGGTAACCCAACTCAAAGTATTGCAGTGTTCAATACTTAAAGTAAAAAGTGACATCACCACCCATATGGTTATCTTTTTAAGTTGTAAATACTTAACTGTTTTGTGTTCTATTAACTTTTTTACACTAAATTGCATTATGTATTCTGAACTATAACGATGGAAGTTACTTGAACATGAATATTTGTTGTAGTGAACATAAAAATGTAGGGTCCCTTCTACTTAAAATATTAACCTTCATTACTATTTTTTTTCAAGTGTAGTAGTAAGTAGTTCTGATTAGTAACTTTCAGTGGTCGTGTCTTAATGTTGAACATTGTTTTTATGTATTTGACAATTTGTCTTTTTAACGCACTTTAGCAGGAATTGTTGAGCACATTGCTCCTTCCTCTAGCAGTAACTGGAGGTAGAGCTGTAAGCATTAAAGGATACTTCATTAGCCTCATTAAGAGTGGGGGCACATTACCTTTTTGATGGTGGGAATGGCTTGTCTCATTATTGAACGTCAATTTGCCCAGCGGTTTTGATATCAGTTCATCATGATCAAATACACCTCATAGCACAACAAACTGCTTAATACTATTTTAGAAATATATTTTTTCTTTCTTCAAACATAAATACAACATTGTGTAAAGGTATCATAAAGTTTTAAAAAATACATAACTTGCAAAAACTGAATAATTCTATATCAGCACAATGTGTCTGACTACTACTTTATTATTTTAAGTAAATACGTTTATTCATTTTTTTGACAGTATTCTTATTTTGACTCCTACACACCTGGAATAGAGAATATTCATTGGTAAGGACCTTAAAAGAGTGCAGACGACCTCTTATCATTTAAGTAAAGATACAAAACATAATAGAATCAAGTAAGAACAACTTATTTCATAAATGTTAGATAGACTTAAAAATATTATATAATCATTACTTGTAAAAACTCAATAACTTTACATTAGCCAAACTCAAATAAATAAAGTTATTTACTCAATAACCTAATATATTTTAACAGTACTCAAAAATATTAAATTATATGAAAACTTATTGACATATGAGTTAGTACCACTTTTATGATTTGAGTTCTACTGACAGTTGGAGATGTTTGAGTAGCCACTACTCAATTTCTTTAATGAGTTAGGAAGTTACTTTTTACAGTGTAGGTAGCCTGAATATGATTGACTGCCAATACAACTATTGGGGATGAATGATACAAAGAAAACAACCCCCCAAAAATCCCCATAAAATAGCCTACATAGGCTATAAAGCAGGTCCAACTCAGCCATGCAGTGGTAGAACACAGGGCTCCATCTCTCTCTAAGCAAAATATTATTTATTCGTTTTATTTGATTCCCCGTTATTTGCAGGCATAATTATTTATTCTGTGCACGCACTGGGTTCACCTTAGTTAATGTAGTCTAGACACACGCGCACACGGCCTACTTTCCCATTTCTGTCTCACACACAGCATAGGGAGAAGGGATAGAGGCGGTTTCTGCTCGCTGCTGTGCCAATGCGCAAAACACATCACGCCGTGGGATAGGTCTCCCTAAATTGAGGCTGCGCTTGAGACGATCATGCGATTGAATGATGAGCGCGTCATGCGTGTCTTTCTGTTCTGCGCGATCCGTGACTCGGCTCTCCACACTCGATAGCTCTGCGATCGGCGTCTCGCCATTGCTCACAACGAATGGCTGCCTGTAGCAAGAGAGAGCGGGGAGAGGGCATTCGAATCCTCCATTGAAACGCTTTGCATCAGTTTCCCAGTTAGGGGGTGAGTGTCTGTTGGAGAATGTGGTAGTCTGTCGGGGTCGTGGGGGGGGGGGCGATGACGCCGGGGCTAAACCGGTGTCCCTAGTTGGCACCGCGGTTTGGGGCAGATTTCAGATGGGTTCGGAATGTTTCGTGGGGGTAAACTATTGTTTTGGGAAAGGTGTGTGATGGGGGATGGGTTGGTAAGAGGATGGCACAATCATAAACTTTTAACCTCACCGGCTTGCGACTTCCGAGCCCCACATGCCTCTTTGTGACTACTTTCTCCTCGGCATATGATCGAAAACTTTTTCCTGTGCACGATCAATTATTTTAATGTACCGTCAAATTTAAGAAAATTAACGTGAGCTAAACGATTAAAATAATTGTACGTTTCAGACACAAAGAGTTGGGCCATCTATCACATTGGTGAGAAGTGGTTAAATTGATGTCTTGTCCATCGACTTGGAACCCCCCTTGTTCTGTGCCGCACTGGTTCGGTCTGGCTCGCCCTCAGTTGCTGCGTGTCCTGAGATGACCTGTTGATGTCGGTAAAATGGAGTATAGCAGTGGGAGTCATTTCCCCATCCCAAAAATATTTAAATAAATACGATTTGGAATTGATAGCGGACACCGTGGGACAACTGTCAACCTCATCGATACAGTTTGTGACAATCGGTTGTCTTTAATTATTCGTAAATCGCGGAAGCAGCGGATACTGTGCGGTTGTCTGAGTGCATGAGGTGGATGGTGCGCTGGGGCGAACCCAAAATATTTTAGCAGTGCTATGTTAGCTTGCTAGTTTAGCTAGTCCTGACAGGCACCCGATTCACAGGCCTGCGGATGGGATGCGTATATTGCAATGAAAGACGGGACTAAAAGCGACAGATGTGGACTTTTTCAAACTGATTAAAATCCGTTATTATATCGATATACTTTTTTGAAAGCTGGCAAACGCCGTGGCGCTCCTGGATCGCGTGTTGTTGCATTCACTGCCATTCTCTGCCGCCCCCCGGCCCGTGCCAGTGGAGCACTCCGAGCGGGCAGACTGGCACACGGCGCGGCGGTCATCTCCGTACACAGACAGCTATCGCCGCCGTTTGATATTGCATCCTGGTTAAAACGCAACTCACGGGAGATACAATTTGTAGCTAGTAACAGCTAGCTATCACTTAAGAGGTTTGCATTGAACTGTTTAATTTAATTGGTATTTAATTCATGTGGTTCGGGAACAGTTTTCGATGTGATCAATATGAGCATGCCAATCTCAATTTGCATGCTACTCGAGTTCATTGAAACGATGAACAATGTATTTCAATGATGGTCAGTAGCCCTTCAAGAAGAAAAGTAATAATTGAATTGATAGTTGCATTGTGTGTAGGCTACAGCATAGCAGGCAAGCTCTATCCTTACAGTAGACATGGGGTTTGAAACCAGGAAATGCCTATAAAATAGTTGTGCCAGCACCTTATTTTTTTTAACCCTTATTTTACCAGGTACATTTACTGAGAACACATTCTAATTTAAAGCAACGACCTGGATATTATTAAAGGGGAGAAGAGGGGGGATGAATGAGCCAATTGAAAGCTGGGGATGATTAGGTTTCAATGATGATGTGAGGGCCAGTTTTGGAAATTTAGCCAGTTTGGAAAATTAGCCAGGACACAGGGGTTAACATAACACCCATACTCTTACAATAAGTGCCATGGGATCTTTAATGACCACAGAGAGTCAGGACACCCGCTTAACGTCCTGTCTGAAAAACGGCACCCTACGCAGGGCAATGTCCCCAATCACTGCCCTGGGGCATTGGGATCTCCTTAGACCAGAGGAAATAGTGCCCCCTATTCCCATCCAGGGACCGACCAGGACCCTGCTTCGCTTAAGAGGCAAGCCAGCAGTGGGATGCAGGGTGGTATGATGCTGGCCACTACCCATGCAATCCTCTCTAATAATCTGTAAGGCAGTCTAAATTAATTTAGCAGTTGGTGTTTTCACAGACTATAGTCTAGGAGGGTGGATAAACTGGAAAATGTTATTTTCTATAAGATCACAAATATGTTGGCCCTGGGCCCATCACAACATCACATAAGCTGTGGCTGCATTGAAATGCTGGCAAAACATTCTTGAGGCTCCTATGAAAAGACTGGCTCTTATGTTGACACTGTGTGACCTAGTTTTGTTACTGACTCCGCTGCCTGGTATGAAATGTGAGGCAGTGGGTGAACTGAACTTCTCCTCCTCTGCCCTCTAACCTGGCTGCTGTGCCTGGCATGACCCCTTTGCTGGGGACAGCCCTTGTTCAGGCCCCTCTCCTACCCTCCTTGGTCTCTCTCTCAGTGCAAACTCCGCAAACACACCCAGGCTTCATTCTATTCTATGTGTGTTTGTCCTGCCAAACTGTAAACAGGCAGTATTGTTTAGTGTGTCTGTGTGTGTGTGTTTGTTTGCGATGGTGTGTGTGTGCTCATCTGTGTTTTTGCGAGAGGGATAGAGACAAAGAGAGTGTTTGTTTTACCAGTGTGGCTGACTGGATCCCAAATCAAGGAGTTATATGATGGGCTGCTTACTTCACCCTTAATGTATTAGTCAGACTTGGGTAATCTTGCGTTTCACTGGGTGAGAAGATTCTAACTGTCTGTTAATGCTGCCACATAGTATCCACCCCCGTCAATGGCAGCTTTTGTGTGTGTAGTTTATGGAGTAGTCTATATGCGGGTGACTGCGCGCGTAGGTGCATAGATGCATGCTTGAACATGCATGTGTAATGTATGCAATAATAGCCTATAGCATCAGTTAGCAAAGCAGATGCTTTTATGAAAAGTGACTAGTTGACAGTGACGCATTCAGTATGGGTGGCCCGCTGCCCGTGTAGGAATCAAACCCCCCCAACAATGCTGGTGTAGCCAGCACCATGCAGTGGAACCACTATATGTGACAGTGCTTACAAGCGGATAGCTGGAATTTGGCTTTGGGTACTGATTCATAAACAATAAAAAGTTGATGTGACAGGACTGCTTCTCGGTTGTCTGTGCTGTTTATGGTCGTTGTGGGGTTACTGAGGTGGATGTCTGTGCTGTTTATGGTCGTTATGGGGTTACTGAGGTGGATGTCTGTGCTGTTTATGGTCGTTGTGGGGTTACTGAGGTGGATGTCTTTGCTGAGCTGCAGAGATAGTGGGAGGGGAGGCGCTTACACTGAACCTTTAAGGGTGCATCTTAATAGTCCAGAGTGGCTCACTGTCTTTGTCTCCTCCTTCATCCTCACATGTCTTTACATATCATTGCAGGTGAAAGAGGGGACATAAGGAAAGGACGCCATTTTATAGTATTGAGATGTAGGTTATTCCATATGCTGTTGTCAAGAGGAATGACATACCTTTCATTTCTGTTGACCTTTGAGCATAGGCCTATCAAATAGTAGAGGGCTGCGAGTTTAGGTTGTTCTATTTTTGAGAGAATAGGTTATGGGCAATTCAAACAAAACCACATTGTAGTACTGTAGGAGTAGGCTATTTACGCAGTCGGATGTAAACACATATTTTACAATCAAATAACATCTCTGAATGGGGTTTAGACAGTTTTAGGCCTATGTAAATAGCAGATAGAAGTTTTTCAGTTTTCAGAATAAGACGTGTGTGTGTGTGTGTGTGTGTGCATGGGCAGTGAAATTTGCTACATATGGATAAGTAGGCTTTTTCAAATAGTATTTTAAGGGTCTCCTTTCTGTTCAAAACACACTGTAAAATGGTTCACTTTGTCTGAATGACCAATATGAAAAAATTGGGTTCACTTTAGTTGCTTCCAAAATGGGTATCATCACTAAAAATGTTTAGTCCATTGGAGGGTGCTGTCTACTACTGTTCAGGTTAGAGTTGAACTGATAGGATTTCCTCTCTGTATGATGGAAGCTATGGTTGGGCTTTATTTTACAGACCTCTATTTACCTGTTTCCTTAGAAATTAGATGGTAATAATAGTTAAATTACTCGATAATTAGGCCTTCCTTCCTAGTGGTTTCTCATTTATTGATTGTAACATGCACCGCTAGTACCATGTTACTAGTTATACTGAGCAAAAATATAAACTCAGCAATTTCAAAGATTTTACTGAGTTACAGTTCATATAAGGAAATCAGTCAATAGAAATAAATTCATTAGGCCCTCATCTATGGATTTCACATGACTGGGCAGGGGTGCAACCATGGGTGGGCCTTAGAGGGCATAGGCCCACCCACTGGGGAGCCAGGCCCAGCCAATCAGAATGAGTTTTTCGGGCAGTCAAGTCTGAGGGACCAACACTTTACATGTTACAATTTATTTATTTTTATAAAAAAATAATATTTAACCTTTATTTAACCAGGTAAGCCAGTTGAGAACAAGTTCTCATTTACAACTGCGACCTGGCCAATATAAAGCAAAGCAGTGCGATTAAAAACAACAACACAGAGTTACATATGGGGTAAACAAAACAAAGTCAAAAATACAACAGAAAATATATATACAGTGTGTGCGAATGTAGTAAGTTATGGAGGTAAGGCAATAAATAGGCCATAGTGCAAAATAGTTACAATTTCGTATTAACACTGGAATGATAGATGTGCAAGAGATGATGTGCAAATAGAGATACTGGCGTGCAAAATAGCAAAATAAATAACAATATGGGGATGAGGTAGTTGGGTGGGCTAATTTCAGAATGGCTGTGTACAGGTGCAGTGATCGGTAAGCTGCTCTGACAACTGACGCTTAAAGTTAGTGAGGGAGATAAGAGTCTCCAGCTTCAGAGATTTTTGCATTTCGTTCCAGTCATTGGCAACAGAGAACTGGAAGGAATGGCGGCCAAAGGAGGTGTTGGCTTTGGGGATGACCAGTGAGATATACCTGCTGGAGCGCAGACTACGGGTGGGTGTTGCTATGGTGACCAGTGAGCTAAGATAAGACAGGGATTTGCCAAGCAGTGATTTATAGATGACCTGGAGCCAGTGAGTTTGGCGACAAATATGTAGTGAGGGCCAGCCAACAAGAGCGTACAGGTCACAATGGTGGGTAGTATATGGGGCTTTGGTGACAAAACGGATGGCACTGTGAAAGACCACATCCAATTTGCTGAGTAGAGTGTTTGAAGCTATTTTGTAAATGACATTGCCGAAGTCAAGGATCGGTAGGATAGTCAGTTTTACGAGGGCATGTTTGGCAGCATGAGTGAAGGACGCTTTGTTGCGAAATAGGAAGCCGATTCTAGATCTAACTTTTGATTGGAGATGCTTAATGTGAGTCTGGAAGGAGAGTTTACAGTCTAACCAGACACCTAGGCATTTGTAGTTGTCCACATACTCTAGGTCAGACCCGCCGAGAGTAGTGATTCTAGTCGGGTGGGCGGGTGCAAGCAGCATTCGGTTGAAGAGCATTCATTTAGTTTTACTAGTGTTTAAGAGCACTTGGAGGCTACGGAAGGAGTGTTGTATGGCGTTGAAGCTCGTTTGGAGGTTTGTTAACACAATGAAGGGCCAGATGTATACAAAATGGTGTCGTCCGCATAGAGGTGGATCCGAGCGTCACCAGCAGCAAGAGCGACATCATTGATATACACAGAGAATAGAGTCGGCCCGAGAATTGAACCCTGTGACACCCCCAGAGAGACGGCCAGAGGTCCAGACAACAGGCCCTCCGATTTGACACATTGAACTCTATCTGAGAAGTAGTTGGTGAACCAGGCGAGGCAGTCATTAGAGAAACCAAGGCTATATAGTCTGCCAATAAGAATGCGGTGGTTGACAGAGTCGAAAGCCTTGGCCAGGTCGATGAAGACGGCTGCGCAGTACTGTCTTTTATCGATCGCGGTTATAATATCGTTTAGGACCTTGAGCGTGGCTGAGGTGCACCCATGACCAGCTCGGAAACCGGATTGCATAGCGGAGAAGGTACGATGGGATTTGAAATGGTCGGTGATCTGTTTGTTAACTTGGCTTTCAAATACTTTCGAAAGGCAGGGCAGGATGGATATAGGTCTGTAACAGTTTGGATCTAGAGTGTCACCCCCTTTGAAGAGGGGGATGACCGCGGCAGCTTTCCAATCTCTGGGGATCTCAGACGTTACGAAAGAGAGGTTGAACAGGCTAGTAATAGGGGTTGTGACAATTACGGCGGCTAATTTTAGAAAGAAAGGGTCCAGATTGTCTAGCCCAGCTGATTTGTAGGGGTCCAGATTTTTCAGCTCTTTCAGAACATCAGCTGTCTGAATTTGTGTGAAGGAGAAGCAAGGGTTGGGCATGGGCAAGTTGCAGCGGAGGTTGCAGAGCTGGTGGCCGGGGTAGCGGTAGCCAGGTGGAAAGCATGGCCAGCCGTAGCAAAATGCTTGTTGAAATTCTCGATTATTGTAGATTTATCGGTGGTGACAGTGTTTCCTAGCTTTAGTGTCCCAAAACTTTTTGGAGTTAGTGCTACAGGATGCAAATTTCTGTTTGAAAAAGCTAGCCTTTGCTTTCCTAACTGATTGTGTATATTGGTTCCTGACTTCCCTGAAAAGTTGCATATCGCGGGGGCTGATCGATGCTAATGCAGTACGCCACAGGATGTTTTTGTGCTGGTCAAGGGCAGTCAAGTCTGAGGAGAACCAGGGGCTATATCTGTTCTTAGTTCTTAATTTTTTGAATGGGGCATGCTTATTTAAGATTGAGAGGAAAACACTTTTAAAGAACAACCAGGCATCCTCTACTGACGGAATTAGGTCAATATCCATCCAGGATACCCGGGCCAGGTCAATTAGAAAGGCCTGCTCGCTAAAGTGTTTTAGGGAGCGTTTGACAGTGATGAGGGGTGGTCGTTTGTCCGCGGACCCATTACGGACACAGGCAATAAGGCAGTGATCGCTGAGATCCTGGTTGAAGGCAGCGGAGGTGTATTTAGAGGGTACATTTGTCAGGATGATATCTATGAGGGTGCCTATGTTTCAGATTTAGGGTTGTACCTGGTAGGTTCGTTGATAATTTGTGTGAGATTGAGGGCATCTAGTTTAGATTGTAGGTTGGCCGGGTTGTTAAGCATATCCCAGTTTAGGTCACCAAGCAGTACGAACTCTGATGATAGATGGGGGGCAATCAGTTCACATATGGTGTCCAGGGCGCAGCTCTGGGCAGAGGGGGGTCTGTAGCAAGCGGCAACAGTGAGAGACTTATTTCTGGAAAGGTGGATTTTTAGAAGTAGAAGCTCAAACTGTTTGGGCACAGACCTGGATAGTACGATAGAGCTCTACAGTAGATTGCAACCCCACCCCCTTTGGCAGTTCTATCGAGACGGAAAATGTTGTAGTTGGGGATGGACATTTCAGAATTTTTGGTGGCCTTCCTAAGCCAGGATTCAGACACTGCTAGAACATCAGGGTTGGCGGAGTGTGCTAACGCAGTGAATAACTCAAACTTAGGGAGGAGGCTTCGGATGTTAACGTGCAAGAAACCATGGCTTTTACGGTTACAGAAGTCAACAAATGATAGCGCCTGGGGAGTAGGAGTGATACTGGGGGCTACAGGGCCTGTGTTATCCTCTACATCACCAGAGGAACAGAGGAGGAGTAGAATAAGGATACAGCTAAAGGCTTCCAGTGCGTTGGGTACAGAGAAAAAAAGGGGCAGATTTACAGGCGTTGTAGAATAGATTCAGGGCATTATGTACAGACAAGGATATGGAAGGATATGAGTTCAGTGGAGGTAAACCTAAGCGTTGGGTAACGATGAAAGAGAGCATCACTGGAGGCACCGATTTGAGTCGGTCTCCGCGTGTATGGGGGGTGGGACAAAGGAGCTATCTAAGTCAGGTTGAGCTGGGCTGGGGGATCTACAGTGAAATAGTACAATAAGAAATAACCGAAACAGCAATAAGCAAGGCATATTGACATGGGAGAGAGGCAAAAAGCAATCACAGGTGTTATTCGAGAGAGCTAAGACAACAGCTGGTAATGGTGACAAAGTTTGGGCTGAGGCTAAACATAAACAGGATGCGGTACCGTATAAAGGAACAGTCCAGCAGGCATCAGCTGTATAGCTGAGTTATCATAAGGTCCGGTGAACAGCAATAGGAGAGTTCGGAGGTAGTTCGTGGGCTGCTACAGCACTGGCGAGCAAGAGGCCACGGCTATATTTTTGTTCAGTGTAGTTACCAATGGTGTTGGAATCCATCATATTGGCTAAGTACAGGGCATTACTGTTTGTTGCTTCATTAGGTTGGGGAAAACGGGTCAGCCTCATGCAGTGATTGGTAAATGATTTAGTTGGCTCTTTTAAAATATGTTGCTGATATCTCTTTCCCTCTCTATCCCTCTCCCTCCAGACCCTGTGGTGGTGTGCGTAGCGCACCATGGCCCAGACCCTTCAGATGGCGATTCCTAACTTTGGCAACAACGTCCTGGAGTGTCTGAACGAGCAGCGTCTCCAGGGGCTCTACTGTGACGTCTCCGTGGTCGTCAAGGGACACGCCTTCAAGGTGGGATATTACTGTGTGAATTGTGTACTAGACCAATTATGCATCAATCAATCTATCCCGGTGGTAACAGCTTGATTGTTATGAGTTTATTATCCCATTGCCCTTCATGACTTGCCATTATTGGTCAACCACCCAGTTTTAAAATAAATGTATCATTCAAATAAAGTAAACATTCCTTATATAACTCTTAACTCTATAGTATCTTCTTACTCCTCCCTCCCTCTCCTCCAGGCTCACCGTGCCGTGCTTGCGGCCAGCAGCTCTTACTTCCGGGACCTGTTCAGCACTGGGGGAGGCAGTGGCTCCAAGACCCCCACGGTGGTGGAGCTACCCCCGGCCGTCCAGCCCCAGAGCTTCCAGCAGATCCTGGCCTTCTGCTACACAGGCCGCCTCAGCATGACGGTGGGGGACCAGTTCCTCCTCATGTACACCGCAGGCTTCCTGCAGATCCAGCAGATCATGGAGAAGGGCACTGAGTTCTTCCTCAAGGTAATAATACATGGGTTTTATGTAGCCTTTTTAACGACCCAAGCATGCTTAAAGGAAAACTACACCCAAAAACAATCTTTTGATATTTGTTTCATTTGTCCATTGTTGATATAGTCCAATGTTTTGCATGTCAGCAATCACGTTTTCAAGATATATAACTTTCAAAATACAGAAATGCAGCCTTTATGATGCATTTTGCATCATATGATACCGGCTGCAAAACATGTTGAGACTATATCAACAATCGACTAATGAAACAAATACCAAAAGATCGTTTTTGGGTGGAGTTTTCCTTTAAGGTTGAGGTGGACAGGAGGCCTCCTTCAAAAGGGAGTCTTGGCCTGCATCACAATCACACACAGTGACCACAGGTTGTGTCATTATGCTGTGTTTATTCAGAGGTCTTAGAATAATACAGACACATACCAGGGTTTCCGTTAGCCTGTAATAGCCGGCTTTAGTCCGCCAAATATTTTAATTTGTGCCAGCCAACTGCCCGAGAGAAGAAATAATCCCATTGCGAAATAATGCTTTTTTGCCTATTCATTGATGGTATTACCAGTCAATGGAAATACATTTGACTGGTCATGCTTATCGGTCTATAGGGTAATCTGCATAATTTAGTGGAAGTAAATTGGCGCGTGTACAGTATATTCGTGTGTACAGTATCTTAAAAATACGAGGTCAAATGATGACGTCAGTGATCTTCAGGTCGGAAAGTCGGAGCTCTAGAAAGAGGCCTGAGTTCCCGAGTTGGAATTCCGAGTTGGATGACCGTTCAAAACTATTTTTCCCAGTCTGAGCTTGTTTTCTTCCCAGTGCCCAGTTGCTTTGACGCACTGAAGTCAGAAGTCAGAGATTTCTGAGTTCCCAGTTGCTTTGAACGCGGCATCAAACGGCAACGGAAGGCAGGCTTCATCACCACGTCACACACCACTTTGCAATGAGCTGGAGGCAGTATGCATTTAGAAAACATATACTTAATTGTTTGAAACCTGAATTTTTTAATACATATTATGAGGTGTGTCTTATCTTGCTTCAAAGTAGCATATTGGATCTCCTCTCTTTCTAAATTTCTAACATATATTTTCATCTGTCACATGAAACCGCTCGCCTGTGCAGTGCCCTTTTGACAATGGTGTTTTCCTGCTAATTGCGTTATGGAACGGACATACGTGCGTAGCCTACTACCTTGTACACATTGCTGCGCTTTTAATGTGAAAAACATTTTAAGCAAAATGTTCTGATCTGTTGCATCAGACTCATTGCTTTTTAAAGTTGTTTTATGTAGCTTAGGCCTACTGGTTGGATGAATTTAGGATCTATCATCCCACAACTGTCCCAGAGTCTGTTTGGAATAGGGTATTTCTTTCTCAACAAGCTGACCAATAGAATAGGTAGCCTAAACTTTTCTACTATATTAGATTGACATAGGTTAGTGATTTTTCTGTTGGTTACTCATCTTGTTGGCTGAGGAAAAGTAAATGTGGACAGTTATTCTAACATGTTCAAAGTGCACATCAGAATTTGTTAAGAAGGACATCGTTGCATCCTCGACTTGCATGTTCTGTTAATATGAAAGATCATATTCTAAATGTGCTTTCTGTCATTCTGAGCACCATGGGTGGACGCCCTAATCATGCTATGCACCAAATGCAAATGGGTCCGGTAGATTTCTGAAATGTCCAGTAAATTTAAATGTTGCTGGTCAAATGTCCGGCGCCACATTTTCGTAAACCCTGATACATACATTTGAACACTTTTAGCGGAACACTAGCAGACGTTCCCAGAGTGACTTTCATTCAACTAAGATGCGTAAACAGCCACTTATCACAATCATTGCAAGTATTTACATATACGGTGTATATTTATATTTACATAATAACCTATTGATAAATGTATTCTCTCCATATTTCTCCTCCAGGTTTCCTCGCCCAGCTGTGACTCCCAGGGCCTGCAGGCCGAGGAGGCTCCACCCTCCGAACCCCAGAGCCCTGTCACTCAAACTGTTGCCGCGGGGACCAGCAGTCGGCCCGCCTCCTGCCTTACGCCCCTCCCCCTCGTGTCGCGGGTGAAGACGGAGCAGCAGGGCAACCAATCAGAAGCCTCACCCTACTCGGTGGTGTGCACCCCTGTGGCCAAGCGCTTGTGGGAGGGCGGCAGCAGCCGAGACGGGGGCGGAGGGGGCTCAGGGGGAGGCGGGTCCAGGAAAGCCGCCCGCTTTTCCCAGGAGTCCGTGCGAGGGAGTGCCATCCAGAGCTCGGGGGCGCTGGCACTGGCCATGGGGATGGGCGCCAGCGGGGCGGGGCAAGGATCAGGGGTCGGGGGTCACGGCAGCGGGTCCAACGGGAGTGTGGTCTCCATGGGCAACGTGGCATCGGAGGGCGCCAGCCCGGGCACGATGAGCGCCTACACCAGTGACTCACCTATCAGTTACCATGATGAGGAGGAAGAGGAGGAGGTGACGGAGGACCAGACAGAGGAGCAGTACAGGCAGATCTGTAACATGTACACCATGTACAGCATGCTCAACGTGGGCGCCGCAGGTACCGACCTGTGTGTGTGTGTGTAAAGGTCAGACCAGACAGATCTGACACGTGTACTGATGTTGTGTGTGTCTCTGTCTTTCTCCCTTTGGTAGCTGGTGAGCGTGTGGAGGCCCTGCCGGACCACTCAGAGACCCGGGGTCGTATGCGGGGTCGCCAAGACCTGTCGTCTCTCCCCGCTGAGCTCATCACACAGATAGGCAACCGCTGCCACCCCAAACTGTACGAGGAGGGTGACCCCGCAGAGAAACTAGAGCTCGTCTCAGGTCAGTATGTGTGTGTGGATCTATTTAGTCATTTCAGAACTGGAGTAGGAGAAGGGTCAGAGAAGGGTCTAGGGACCGAAGTGGAATGTTGGATAGTTTGCATTTTCTGCTACGCAGGGAAATTGTCTGCGACAACAGAGTGATCAAATTAAGATAGTACACACTGAGTGTACAAAACATTAAGAACACCTGCTCTTTCCATGACAGACTGACCAGGTGAAGCTATGATCCCTTATTGATGTCACTTGTTAAAATCACTTCAATCAGTGTAGATGAAGGGGAGGAGACAGGTTAAAGAAGGATCTTTAAGCCTTGAGACAATTGAGACATGGATTGTGTATATGTGCCATTCAGAGGGTGAATGGGCAAGACAACATATGTAAGTGCCTTGGAATGGGATACGGTTTGTGTCAAGAACTGCAACACTGCTCGGTTTTTCATGCTCAACAGTTTCCCATGTGTATCAAGAATGGTCCACCACCCAAAGGACATCCAGCCAACTTGACACAACTGTGGGAAGCATTGGAGTCAACATGGGCCAGCATCCCTTTGAAATGCTTTCGACACCTTGTAGTGTCCATGCCATGATTAATTGAGGCTGTTCTGAGGGCAAAAGGGGGGTTGCGACTCCATATTAGGAAGGTGTTCTTAATGGTACACTCAGTGTATACTATACACACACTGTATAGTCTACTGTGGTAGTTGTCCTAAATGACTAGTGAAATGGGACGTGGCCTGGTTCTACGCTACACTATGAGAGTGGTCCTTACATGAGTAGTGAAATGGGACGTGGCCTGGTTCTACGCTACACTATGAGAGTGGTCCTTACATGAGTAGTGAAATGGGACGTGGCCTGGTTCTACGCTACACTATGAGAGTGGTCCTTACATGAGTAGTGAAATGGGACGTGGCCTGGTTCTACGCTACACTATGAGAGTGGTCCTTACATGAGTAGTGAAATGGGACGTGGCCTGGTTCTACACTACACTATGAGGGTGGTCCATACTGTGAGATGACCGTATGTAAGAGATGAGGCATGGGACAGTGTGGTTAATATTAGCCACGTGAAAGCCTCTCTGGGAGCATGCCTATGTTACATTACACTGCCACGTTGTCCTGGAGTGTACTGTCAGTCTAAATGTGGACCACAGTCAAGTATTCCCATGTGTTTGGCCTGCTGCTTGTTTGTCATGCAGTCAGACCCAGGATGTGTGTGTTTGGGTCTATGTTTCAGTGTCTGTGTTAGTGTGTTCTTCTTTGATGTTGTGTGTGTGTAAACAGGACTTGTCTGTGTGTGTTTAACGGATGGTGTGTGTGGTGTATGGGAGTATATCCAGGTGTGTGTGTTGAAACTCAATAGGAGTAGTGTCTGGAGTAGTCCATGGTAACACTGTTCTGTGTGTTTGCTTTTGTTGTTGATTCTCACTAATGTGTGTCTGTGTCTGTGTCTGCAGGTACGTGTGTGTTCATATCTCGAGCCCAGCTGATGAACTGTCATGTGAGTGCAGGGACCAGACACAAGGTGTTGCTCAGGAGGCTGCTGGCTGCCTTCTTCGACAGGTTAGTGTGTGTGTGTGTGTCTCTCTCTCTCTCGCACATCTGACGTGTGTGTGTTTATACGTCTGACGTTTCTGTGTGTTTATACGTCTGACGTTTCTGTGTGTTTATACGTCTGACGTTTCTGTGTGTTTATACGTCTGACGTTTCTGTGTGTTTATACGTCTGACGTTTCTGTGTGTTTATACGTCTGACGTTTCTGTGTGTTTATACGTCTGACGTTTCTGTGTGTTTATACGTCTGACGTTTCTGTGTGTTTATACGTCTGACGTTTCTGTGTGTGTGTTTTTATATGTCTGATGTGTGTGTGTGTGTGTTTATGTCTGATGTGTATGTGCCTACCTGCCTCTGTGTGTGTATTAACGGTTGATGGATGTCTATGTTTATAAAGGTATCATTATACTCTTTCCCCTGTCAGGAACACTCTGGCTAACAGCTGTGGAACAGGAATCCGCTCCTCCACTAACGACCCCAGCCGCAAGCCCCTGGACAACAGAGTGTTGCACGCAGTCAAATGTGAGTGTTTCACTTAAACACAAGTGCCTTTGGTTAGTACAAGTTGACGGCTGATTTAGGATTGGGTTTATCAATCCTAACTCTCTGGTCTTTCCCTCTTTTCTCCCTTATTCTCTCTCTATTCCCCTCCTTCCCTCCCATCCCTCATTCCTTTCTCCCCTCTCTCTCCTCCTTCCCTCCATCAGTCTACAGCCAGAACTTCGCCACGAGCTTCAAGGAGAGCGAGATGAACGCCATCGCGGCAGACATGTGCACCAACGCCCGCCGCGTCGTCCGCAAGAGCTGGATCCCCAAGCTGAAGCTGCTCATGGCCGAGGGCGACGCGTACTCCGCCTTCCTCCCTGACGCCAAGATGGAGGCTGACGCCCTAGGGGCGGAGCCAGGCTTTGAACCCAACTCCCTGGAGGGCGCCGAGACGGGCGGCTCGTCCGGCGAATCGCTGCAGGGGGTGGGCAGCGACGGAGGCACTTTGTTTTAGATGGGGAGGTGGAGTACAGAAGTGTTTAGAAGACGACGATGATGAATACCTATATTTCCCTGTACTCCCCTCTTTCTTCTCCTCTGGTGGTGTGGCCCACCCCCCTGACCCTTTAGCCTTTTGATCCTCCACCCCCAACATTCGACTCTAAAACGTTGCTAGGGGAAACCGGGGTTGTTACCAGGATGTTAACCAGGAAGTTATGCTTTAATTTTGAAAGCGAGAGTCCAAGCAATCGTAACTTCCAAGATGGTTTCTACTGTATGTTGGTATGGGGGTAGAGAGAGGGTGATGGGTTTGTGGGGATGGGGTGTTATTTTTTTTTGTTCCCAATTTTTTAGATTATCTGTTTAGGTTTTTGAACCAAATTCCTCCCTCTCCATATCAAAACACATTCCCCTGGTTTTGAATGTAGATGTCGGCAGCATCGCACAATGTCAGTCTGAACGATTGTAAACCAACCTCTTGAGGATAAACAAACCGACAGAAAGATAACTTACTCTATGGATATGAGAGAGACTGTAGTTTCTCTCTAGAATGAAAGAAAGAGAAAAGGGGAGGGAGGGAGTGATAGAGACCCCTACCCCACCAGTCCTCCTCTGACCAGAACAAAATGATCATGCCCTCAGTTTTAATGTACTGTCTCTCTTGTATCTTTTATTATCACAGCCCGTTTCTCTGTTTGTAACATGCTATGGAGCCAGAGATGGGGACTACAGGTTGTACCATGATTGTAAAGAAATCCAAGGGGAACAGAAAAAGACGGTCATATCTTTTGAATATGTATTTATACAACTGTGGGTGTGTACAGAAAGAAAGGGATTGGTTTTACATTTCTGTTGTTTTATTTATTTTGAACAGCTGTTTTTGCAAAGAAAGTCCTGCTCCAAAAAATAAGATTTAAAAGCAAATAAGGAAAAGTGCTATTTTTGCATAAAAATATGGTGTTGATCAAGTGGTCAGAAAAGTCTTAAAGTAGGGCCTTTTGGGTTTTTTGTTTTGACAAACTATTGAACTGAAAAATATCTGTTTTTAAGACAGAACTGGGCACTTTCTACCTGCGGCAATCCAATATAGCTTATTATCTTATCATCTTTTCTCTATGGAAATGGTCAAGAAGCCTATCTATGTGGCTGGACTGTTGACGACGATGACTGACTGACTATGTTATGCTTGCTAGCGAGCTAGCGACACTACTATGCTAGCTAAACTGCTTACTCAAAAATCACGGCTAAATGTAGAAATGCACAGCTTGAATCGACTGCTGCAGCTATCGGGCTAGCTAGCTAACCCCTCCTCCGTGTTGGTTAGTGACGTGCTCCGACGCAAACTACTGACATCATTACACATCATGAGGTGGTGATTCAACAACCGGAAAACATTTAGAATAATGGAATGTGCCTTTTTTATCGACATGGGATATGCAGGGGTGGGTCCTGCTTATGTTGATGTTGGGAAGGAGGGGGTAGAACGGGTGGTAAAAGGTGGTAGGTCGTTCTGCTGGAGACAGAGGTGTAACACACGTGTCCCAAAGAGAGATGGGGTGAGGTCAGGGGGATTGGCATTCCGGTGGAGTGTGTGGGTGTGTTTTTAACAGTCTTTATATGTGCGAGAGCAAGCATTTGTGTTCATTCCTTGAATGTGACTGAAAAGCATATTTGTTCCTGTGTGATTGATGTGTAGGTGAGTGTGCTTTAAGTGTGTGTGTCCTCCACCTGGTAGTGTTTTGGATTGGTTTAAGACTCCCTCTGCTGGGACACTTGTCTATGTGGACGATGACCTACACCATCTTCCATACACCTTTGCAATCAAAAAGATATCTTCACAGGTGTCAGTGAGACGCCTTCAGATAGAAATGTGATGTATAGCGCGGACACAATTCACTTTTATCCATACGGCAGAGAAGCAGGGCCACTCTATGCATTACATTTCTATGTCCTGATTGCTGTTGTATAACTACTCCCTCTCATGTTTAGAAAATCCGAAATGGACAATGGTGTTTTTTGTGGTTTGACATGGTTCTGCACTTTCCTTGAAAGGGGAAGTCAAAGCACCTTCCTGGAGATGTTAAAGTGGAGGTGAAGCACCTTTTTATATGAGATGAACCCATGGTTCCTGCACCTTTGATAAAGGGTTTTGATGGGTCGTGTGGAGAATCAACCCTAGGGTCATGCAAAGGTATGGCCTTGTTCAAATACTTCTAAGCGGCATCCTTCCTCCCTTTCCTTGATGTAAGCACTTCAGGAAAGAGAATAAAGGAAGGGTGCATTTAGAGAGTATTGGAACATAGCCTGCGTCTCAGATCTGTGGATGTGGGATGCACTGGGATGACTCCAGTTGTAAATATTGAGAAGACCGTTGAGCTGACTTCTACGCTCGTCTAGGATAGTGATTTCCTATGTAGGATGTTTGTGATTGTGTAAAAGTGTGGAAGGGATGAAAGAGGACCGTTTTTATATTTTTTTGTTGTTCTTTTTTACTCGGTCTCTCGTGTTGTGTGTGTGAGCTCCCAGCATGCATTTGACCTAGAGATCAGAGGTCGGAGGAGAATGAGGATGATGGTTGCTTTGGTCTTAAAGTACTGGCCTAATGTGCTGCTGAGTTAGTGACTGAAGGGGAGGGAAGAGGGGTGATGTTGTTTAGGGAGAGAGGTGTCATGCTACAGACTCTTCTCTCCATCAGAATGTTGTACAGAAAAAAATAGTCATTTTAAAAACAGTTTTTTGTATTGCTTATGTTTTCTCTTTTCTCTAAAGAAACATGTACTGTAGAGACCTAAAATAAATGCTACTAATTGAAGGTGGTGAACGATTTGCCAACTTCTTGCTGAAGAAAAAACAGGAAAAGGAAAGAAAGATAACTTTACGACAGCTAGACAGAGCACCGATAGCTAGACAGAGCACCGTATATTTTTCTATTTTTTTGTGATGAGGGTTCCATGAGAGGTTCTTCCAGGGGGAGGATGATGGGACAGACTAGGGTACTGTACTGTCTCTTGTCTATTGGGGGGAATGATTTTGGGTAGGTGGGGGGGGGGGGGGGGGGGGGGGGTAGTAGTGGGTGTGCGGAGCTATAGAGGTTTCGAATTCCAAACTTTGCACCTGTTATTAAACCTGTTCACCAAGGTCTGATTTTCACCCTGCTGAACAGACCCCATGATATTATGGACACTGTCAGATCCTCTCTTATTCACCACCTGTTAATCACATGTGGTACTGCAGACCAGTGCACTGCCTGGAGCCACCACCTGATGACAGTATTTCCCCCACAGATCATAGTCAATGACATAGTTGGCTACTAAGTGATCAAAGTTCAGTTTTGTGTGTTTTGGAGAGGGTTACTTGTCTGCGCTCTAGTCTTGCGCTTCAGAGGAACAGAAAATAAAGTTTGCGTGTGTGTGAGACAGGACAGTTCAAGCTGATTCTCCCCCCATCCCTACAGGTAGATGTCCCTCCTCCCCCAACACACACACACCTCAAGAGAATGGACAAACAAAGGCAGTGTCCAGTGTGGTATAGGCTTGGCGAAGGACCTTTTTTCACATATACATATATAAATATGAATATATGTATAGATATATACTGTATATTATACATAGAGGCACTAAAGAAGTCGGATTGTTAGTTGTGCACTCTCAGCATGAGGTATATACCCACAAACCGCTTATTGAAACCAGTGCAGTAGCGTCCCCCATGTCTCTGTCCCTGCTCCTTGCCCTCTGTGACCCTGTAGCGCCAGTGCTCTACTGCTCATTCTGTTCTCTCTGTGTTCCAAGTGCCAATAACTTTGTGAAACCCCTTAACTGTGACCCAATATTATTCAAAGTAATTGCACATTAACTACTGTAAAGAAAAATCATTAAGATAAATGTCAACATGGATTTAAAAAAAACTCTTAATAAAAGGTTTGTAACAAATTATTTGTGGCTTTGCTCCTTTTTTTCCAAATATTTGTACCACTGACTAGATTGACTGGTAAATTATAGGTT